GTGTAGTCAAGTAAAAAGTGAACTTCACTCGAGAAATTTCAATTTTATTCATGTTGTTTTTTTGCGTCTGAACTTGTTGAAGACCAACACTAGATCTATCAATGTCTTCTAAGTATGAATACATTGGAATCAGTTGGCAAATAGTATATACTGGAAAAATCACAATTTTTCTTGGGATAAAAGCATGGTCTTCCTGATCCTATTGTAAAACAACTCAATAGACAAAAGAAGACAAAAAAATATGATCATATGAAAAACGAATGAAGTTGGTGTCGTCTTTCAATCAGCACTTAATGAATGTCTTGCAAACCTTTTATTGCTTCTATTATAGTGACTTTTAAATTCGTAAACTTATCTCTGGTTCGATTTGTTTAATTGTTAGTAATAGAAGGCCTTCCCGATCATTTTCTTGACTTTCAGCAATTTGAAAGTGTCAGTGGTGACTCATTACTCCGAACCGTTTTTGAACGAACTTTTATCGCGAAGATGATCAGGATTATCGTAAACAGCTGGAACAATTGGCCGTGTTTGAGAATGGAGCTGTATCACACGGGTAAAACAATGAGATCTTCTTTTGTTCAAAAGGCGTCACTATATTGATAACCTAGTAACAATCAAAACATACACTTTTGGTTTTATTCTGTGTAGGTTGTAAAAACGACTTGAGCTTCAGTCTTAAAGAAGCCAAAAATGGAGGATACACAGCATCAAGTTTTCTTGGACCTGGGTTTGAGCCATGGCGTGCAAGCATTCTCATTTCAAGCAAACAACATGGCTGGTGCGCAGAAAACAGTTCAGCCTCAGAGTATTTGCAAATTGATCTGGGAATTCTTCATCAAGTCACTGGAGTTTTGACCAGAGGAATCGTTGAAGGGGTTTTAGAGAAGGAAGCCTGGGTGGAACAATACACGATTCAATACAGCATACTAGGAGATCACTGGATTGATCACAAGGAGGAAGACGTCGTCAAGGTGAAGTTTTCAAAGCAATAATTCAAATTTGGTTCGTTTTTCGTATGTACTTCTCTCAAAAATCTTAGGTGCGAGTGCTATGGCATACAACAACATGTGAAGTCTCGGAGTGATCATAGTAGATGATACCTTTGAATAAAAACAATGGAAAGCTGAACCCTTTATCACTTAGCATCAGTATGTATATTCTCCATACTTTTCTCTATGCATTTCCTAAGGTGCTGACAAGGAGAATTTGATTATTGATCTAGAGCTTCTTCAGGGGGTGATCATTTCCTTTATTTTTGTGATTTTAATGTTTAATTTAGGGGGGGGGGATATTATAAAGATAAATCAGATCGTAGTAATTCTTAGAAGTTAATCATAAAATGTTAATGGTTTAAAGATAGATGGAAAAAAGTTTTAGGAGGACCTTACATTATTTTATTGATATCTTATGAGGATTTAGGCGAATTTTAAAAATAATTATTAGAAGTATCATATCGAAGGACAATGAAATTAGCCCAGAACCAACGGAAGAGGATCTCAATGATGCAGAATCTCTGACGGTTGACCGTTGAATCTACATGTGTTAAGTACTGGTCACCGATTTCAGTTTTGACTTATGAATAGATACTGCTCAGTGACCCATTTATTAGAAACGCTGCTTAGTTTATCAAATACAGCCACTCTTAAATACACCTTTACAATATCATTTTCCAAAACGAGAAGTGTTAAAGAGGAAAAACATCCCTAATCAGTTTAGCAGTAAATCTGAACAGAAGAACCTCAAACGGAATATTGACTATTGCATCATTCATTTCTCTTTTTTCTCTTGGTCATTAAACTATGGACGCTAAATTTTATTTAGAGCCTAATGAAAAGACGATGATCTTTTTTTTCGTGTAGTTGCTGAGCATGGTCCTACTCTGTAAGCGACATGGGGTTTTTTTTAACGTTTTTTTTTTTGCTTGCTCAACAGATATATGATGCAAATGCAGATGCAGTTTTTCCAAAGAGCCAGGTCATCAATTTCCACGCCCGTTTTGTTCGAGTGATTCCTGAACAGTGGCATTTTAGACCATGCATGAAGTTGGAACTCAAAGGCTGCGAAGGTGATTTTTTTTATATTTTCTATTGATCCTTTTGTGTGACGCGGACTGTGGAACACATCGTCAGAGTCAATCGAGGAGTTGATTATCAGTCTATTTCGTTTGAACGGATTGGTCAGTTTTTTCTTGATGGTATTGGCTGTGATTGTTAGTTAAATCGTTCTTATCATTGCGTAGTTTATGTTAAGTATGTTGACAATATTTGTCGACCTTTTTTGAGAAGTTTAGCTTCCTTAGCGCCTGCCTTGAAAGAAGGTCATGCCGTAGGTTTGACACACTCAGTCCCATCCAATAGTAAGTTGATGTTTCTAACTTCACGTTTTCTCGTCTCGAGTTTGTATTCTGTTAGTCTTACGTTGAGGTTTCCAGTCAGGGTGATTCAGGTTGTTTATCAGTGGATCCTTTCATCACTTTCCTTTAAATATTAACCACGCTGTATTTGTCTTACAACGTCATTGGATCTTTTGCAAATACGAATTCCTCCTCGCCTTTTGATAACCTTTTTTCATTTAGAGTGTTCATCCCCATTGGGAATGGAGCATGGTGAGATCAACAGCAACCGAATAAAAACATCAACTCCTACCTCAAGATCTACTAATTCTCGACTACGCCACGGATATGAGTTTTTGGCTAGTTCCTCCTGGGACCCATTTATTCAAGTTGACTTAGGGCCGGAAAATAAACGACTGACGGCCTTTGCTATGCAAGGAAGGGATAACACTTACAATACTTGGGCCGTCTACGTGAAATATGCAATCGGGGATGGGTCAGAATGGTTTAATTATACAGAAAATGGAGAGAAAAAGGTACGATTTACTTAACGTTGTATTATATCATGAATTCATTGCGGCCAAAAAGTTTTTTCCTTCTGCACATTTGCTCAAGTGTTATAGTATTGCAGCATCAATAGATGTCCATGGGTGAGACTTGCTGCTACAATGACTAATGTTTTATTAGTACACCATACCAAGAAACTATACACTGCTTTGTACGTTAACAATTTCCAGAAAAAAAAAGCTTTAAAAAGGACAGTTGCACTCTGTTGGTTCTATTGTTAGTATCAAAAAGACTAGAATAAATGATAAGACGTGGGAAGACCACCTTGAGTCCACGATTAGCGACCAAGACTGTATGCGAAGTCTCCTTAATGTTTCGACTTAGCTTTTATATGTTAATTCTTTCCCAGTTTTATTTTTTAGCACTGAAGTTCTTCTAACACTTCTGATTCTATTCCACTTATCGTTTAGCGCCTTACTAACGCAAATGCTTGACAGGTCAGCTGACATCGGTCAATTTGAAGAGGAATTGAAAAAAGGGTAAAGTTTAGGAAGAGACTCTTGCTACAGGATAATCCTTGCAATTAGTGACAAGAGCTTTTCATGATTAAATATATATATATATATATATATATATATATATATATGTATATATATGTATATATATATATATATATGTATATATATATATATATATATATATATATATATATATATATATATATATATATATATATATAAATGAATTTGGGGGTAGAGTCTACCTTGGCATAAAGTGCTCAATGCTGTGGTAGCAGAGCTAAGTATACATAAGTTAAAGAATTAAAGAGGACGCATCGATTCTCTGTGACTCTGAGTTTCGCGCCTAAGCGCTCGTCAGACCGAACTTGCTTGAAAAGGTGACATGATTTCATCTCATGAAGAAGAAGTATGCGGTCTGAATGTCACTCTCCACATCAGAAGTCACTACATCGTGAGAGAAATAGTTAACACTTTGTTATTTGAAGGCAGGGAGGTTCCCTATTGATGGAATGGGTAAATTGATTATGGGAGAGATTTACGTTAGAGCTTCTGTTAACCCAGGATAAATTGCACGTCAATGAGTGGATTTTTTTATTTGACAGATATTTGAAAGAGACCAACACATGGACATGATAAGCAAACATTTCTTCAAACGTACCTTTACGACTCGTTTCATTCGTGTTATGTTACTTACATGGTCTTTTGATGCGGGCGTTAGAATTGAACTGTACGGCTGTCCAGGTATGTACAGCTCTAAATACTGAGGGAGGGAGGGGGCGAATAAACACATGCATATAGTCTAACAATGAAGGGGAGGGGGGTGGTTTACAGATCACCAACGTGCTCATTGAGTGGTTCCTTCAATTCTTAATGTCTTTTTACATTTATCATTTTTATTTCTCATTTTCATTCTTACGGTTGCTAAAGAGCTCTAATATACATAAAAATCATATAATGAAGACCAGTTCATATGTGCAAATCAATAGTAAATGAAACGATACCATTTCCACCATAATTTGTAGGAGTGAGTACCATTGTCTGTTTTTTTAACACAAATTGTAATTGTTACAAGAGTTGATTTTGTTCGAAAGAAAGAAATAAAAGAAATAATACAGTTTACTTAGGAGAGGAGACTGATAAGTCAGAGTCTTAGTTTTACACCAGGAGGACTGTCAGAATGTATTACTCATCTTGATCACGACTTTCACTCTTCTCAATACCATGTTTCCTTTTCTTTTCTCGAGTATCTCAAAAAAGTAGAGGGAAAATACTCTTCTCTTGCGTTTATCAATGCGAAAATTGAATTTCTTAAATAAAACTTTACGGCTTTGGTCTCTCTGAGCACCTGGAATATTTTTCGAAAAAACTACCGAGGCAATAACGTAATTATGGTATGCTTTCCTTCAGTGTGCGAAAATCCCCTTGGCATTGAAGGTGGTCTTCACAACATTACTGTATCCTCCGTCCGTGGAGTTGGGTACGAACCTTGGCGGGGACGACTTAACTCTGCAGGGATCTGGCGCCCTTACACCAATCAAATATACGAATTCCTTCAAGTGCGCTTTGATCAAGTGATGACCGTAATAGGTATTGCCACTCAGGGTGATAGTGGCCCTTGTGGAAGAGTTAGGAGATTCTGGTTGTACCATAGTTTGGACGGAATGCGATTTGAATTATACAACGATCCTATAATGGGAAATGTAAGTAGAACAGGCCTGTTTGTTTAATAACAATTTTAATCTTCACCATCCTTTCCCTTTTCCAGAAAAAAGAGAAACTGGGTATGGTATCAGGAGGTTTTGCCCCATTGCGAATTTGTTCTCGTACCACCTTTGCGAGTTCGAACCCTGAAGTTAACAAGCACAAATTATATTTTTCGATTAACATGCAACTGTTTGTTCTTTAAAGTAATTCTTAAAATTTGCTTCGAGCATAGGAATAAAACATTGTCTAACCAGTTCGTTTAAGACTGGAGTAATTTAGTGGCCTTACATAACTCGTGTAGGAGTCTTGCGTCAGTTAACACGCTTAGGAATTTCTATGTCAGCCAAACTTTTGTTCATCGAAATAAGTTGGGGCTTAAGATGGAGGCGAACTCGCAAAGGTGTAGGGGCGAGCTTGCATTGGGGTGAAGCCCCATTCAACTTTTAACGTTACCTCTCTTCCCCGTAGACTTCGTTCCCAGTCTCACTGGGTTTTCAAGCCCGGCAAATGTTTATGGGAGGAATGACTTAATCTCCGGTTCAGTGTAAATGGAACTCTTTATTCACATCAGTGTGGATAGTAAGCACTTTCAGATCGTGATCCGAAAAGTTATACATGTAGTTCTGAAACCTTGGGCTGGCAAGAGAAGCATCTTCTTCAAATTTCTGTAGAAGATGAGTAGGTCACCAGGATTAATTGTCGAGGTCGGCTCCTGCTCCAAAATTTGGTTAAAAAAGCATTGTTAAATTATGTTATGCATAAGTTTAAAGTCACCGGAAAGTTATAATTCCATTAGCTAAACTTTTATGGACGGGATTTCTTCCTTGCTGAAAATCTGTACTTTAAGGACCTTACTAGGTTTTCGCGGGTTTATCTTTTTTAAAAGTGATAGAGAATATTTTCAAAATCTTTCAGCGGGGCTCATTTCATGTATTATTTTTATAGAAATGCCTCTACAGAGCAGATTCCAGATTTAATAATAGCCAGAAAAGATAGATACTTTCGGGAAATTTCCTTTTTCTCGATGTTATTTTTAAAAGGCGGCAATAATTTTTTTTCAAGAAAAAGAAACAGAAAAGTCTTGCACCCACACGGTAGAAGCAAAACGCTCTTTCAACACTTCTCACCAAAAATTCATAAATGGCAAGATGAGAAAACAAATTTCCTGAAACAGAAAAATGGCACTCCAGGAAAGTGGTTAAGAGAGAAAAAATAAATTTCATGCTGTCAACATTGGGATGTGAATTAATAAGGTATTTGTATAGTGTGAGAGAAATCCTGCAAAAATCCTTTTGTTTGTCAGTTTGACATTTATTTTTGTCGAAAATTCTTTCATAAAACAGAACTAAAGAAAATCAGTCCCGGTGCGCTGGCATGCAAATCCAAAGTATTTCTCTCAGTTTCCATGATTTTAAAATTCATTCGTCTTGGAGGCATAGCTGGGATCACACCTTTATTTTGATTTTAGTTACCGACCCAAATTTTATGAATTATATAATTCTCGTCAATGTTTGTTTAAATCTTCCTCTACGTGTTTATCAGCGATGAACCATAATGGTTGAGCTTTCTAAAGGATCGCTCAATGAGTAACCTGATTCAATAGAGTTCTCTTTAGTATTTAGTTAATGGTAACGAACGGAACACCCATTTATTCTTGCTAATAAAAACAGCAAAATTAAGCCAAACACACCTGCTAAGCTCTATCGATTTCACGTTGTTTTGTAGCAAGGAGTTAAGTGCTCTAAACGTGATTTCCTTGCAGTGAAATAATGCGGCATACGTTTCTTGGTTTGCTAAAAGTAGGATAATTTCAGAAATACAAATTCTTATTCAAATTATGAATACGGCTTCGCCACGGAAACGGAAATAGAACTATGTGGCTCAAAGCAAATAAAAATCAATTTCCTACTTTGTTGTTTTAGAAACCCATGATAAATATAACGTGAGAACGCTAATTTAAACTTTTGACTTTAACTTTATGAACAAATTACATTGTTTGTCCAACGTGATTGCCTTACTTCCTGACAGTTTTCTTCTTAGGATTACCTCTCGCGCGTTACAAAGACATATATTCACAAGTGTTCATAAGAAAGCTTTTTCAAAAATGACCCCTATGTTTTCTTTGTTCATCAATAATGAAACAAACGAGACCAACTTGTCAACTGAAAAGCCAAATTTAGGAAATTTGGCCAATGAGACAAAAATGGCAAAGGCTTTAAAAACGCTAACTTTGTCTACATTGATCGCTGTCTCAGTTTTTGGCAACTGTCTCGTTGTTGCATCCGTGTACAAGAACGTTAACAAACGAATGCGCGTTGTTGGTAACTACCTGGTGGTGAACCTAAGCATTGCAGACATGTTGCTGGCAATTTTCAGCTTGTCGCGTATGTTAACTCTCGTTCATGTTGGCTACGAGTGGCTAGTCGGCGGATTATTGGGTTTGTTCCTCTGCAAAGCGCAACACTTTTTTATCATCCAGTTACTGTTTGTTTCTACGATGAACTTCATGGCAATTGCTGTCGATCGATTTGTTGCTGTTTTCTTCCCGTTCTCGCTGATTTTGAAAGGGAAATTGTTTTATTTTATCGTCGGGGCCACGTGGATCATTCCTAGCGCTCTATTCGCGTTTTACTGGAAAATGATGGACATGGAAGTGCGTGGTGGTACGACAGTTTGCTTTGCGAATGTGCTGAAAATCTTTCCAACTGTAAAACACTTTTATGAGTTTAAGGTCGCAGAAAGTGTGATTGTTACTGGTGTTACTCTTACAATAACAGTCAGTCTGTACATCGCCATTGGAGCGAAGTTATTACTCAGACGGCTTCCAGGAAATGAGCAAGAAGCAGACACGCGTCGTAGGGAAGCAGTTGCACGAAAAGTTTTCCGAATGATGTTCATCGTGGTATTGGTGTATTGCCTGTGTTGGAGTCCGCAGTGGATTATATCAATCATTTGTAATTTGGTCGAACGCCAGAGGCCGATCTGTAATAATCCGAATGCAAATTTTGTGAAACTTGTTGTCGCTTATTCAAACAGTGCAATCACGCCGTTTATCTATCCCATATTCTCTGGAAACTTTCGCACAAGCTTCCGACAAATCTTGACGGGCGGTTTTTGCTGGAAACGTGGAAGGGTTGCCCCTGAGGATCAGAAACGCAATTCCTCACGCAAAAAGCACTATAAAGCAGAGCCAGATGATGAAGTACAAAGCCACAGACCAGAGGTGTTTCTTTTGCAAGACCAGGCTCAGTGTAAACTTGTGCAAAAGAAAATTATTTCTTCAGAGACAGGAACAATGTGAACGAGGTGTCTTTTTTAATCAAATCATTATTGCGATAGCCTCTCGCTCACGCTTTTATATTTTCGACCAAAATATTTTCTTTTGATTTTGTGATCACGCATTGTAACCTAGTAAGCATCGAGAAGCAATAGGATATTTCTATTGATCCCTAAGTTAAGACTGACTGGTTTGCTATTAAAACTTGTAGAGAGTCAGGTCCAAGAACTCAACGTAAAAAAATTTCTGTTTTCTTCATCAGTCACTTTTAAGTTTTGTAAAACAAATTTGCTAGCATACGATTCCTTATGCTATCAAGTTTGACTGAAGTTTCTACTAAGATGTCCCTTTCTTGAGACTTTTTTTATTATGAAAGCGTATGAGTTATTAATTTACTTTGTTGCAAAAAGGGGAAACTATTGTAAATGCTTATAAGAAGAAGGTGAAAAACTAAAATAGTCTTCATTAAATATCAACACCATGCGCGTGTTAACGAGAAATGTACTTGAAGGAAAAATAACATCATTCCTAAACGGTGCTTGTAAGAAGGGAATTTGTCACAATATGCAGTCCATTGCTTTACCCTTCTTTTGACGAGAGGATTCTATCGTCATTACATCGCAGCCCCGGCTACAAACACTGACAATTATCAAAGGCTTAGTTCAATATGTAAACTTTGTCTCTACAGGCCACTAGAATTCGCCCATCTGGCGTCGTTGCTATTCCTGTTGGATATGCTAAGCAAGAGGCACTTTTACCTGTGAAGCGACCGTCTATAGAAAATTGCTGAACTCGATTATTGTTACAGTCACATACGAAGAGATTTTCGGAATGGTCCAGATGAATTCCTAAAGGCCAGTTGAATTGTCCGTCTTGGTCTCCTTGTTTCCCAATCTTGTTTAAGAATGTTCCTGACTGACCGAAAACTTTGATGCAATTATTTCCTCCATCGCACACCAGAAACCTGTCTTTATAAGAAATGCAGCTTGTTGGTTTGTCTAGTTTTTCTGGGCCCTCGTTTCCAAATATTTTCATAGTCTCACCTTCGAGTGACATTATCTGTACCCTGTGATTAGATTCCTCGGTTACAACAACGCGGAGTTCTTCATCCAAGTAAACATCAGACGTCTTAGCAAACTCTCCTTTCGCTCTTCCATATTTTCCAAAGCTTTTTACACATTTTCCTCTGCAAACATCTGTTTGCTGAATCCTATGATTTGATGAATCTGCAACCAGAATGTCGTTATCACTTACGAATGCCAAACCATGCGGGTGGTGAAATTTTCCAGCAATTTCGCCTTGGCCTCCAATTTTTCTTAAAAATGTTCCCTTTTTATCAAATAAGAAAATGCAGTGTCCGCTGATGTCCGTAATGGCCATCTCTTCTTTCGTGTTCACTGCAATTCTGAAGGGTCTTTGCAGCTCTTCTCCGTTAGAAAGCTTCAGGTCCAACTCGCCAACCACAACAATCTCACGTGGTACTGCCAAAACAGTGAAAGGAGAAGTCTGAAGTTTATTGCCACTAATTTTCACTTCAATGTTGTAGGCACCAGGTGCTTTGGGCGTAAAAATCAATACTAGTTTGCCACTCTCTCCGTCGCAAACCATCACATCCGTGACATCTTCCATGGGTTCTACGGTTATTTCGATTTCTTCCTTAAGATCCATGCGGGTGCTATAACCTCCAACCTTGGGGGACAATAAGAATTCTGCTTTAACACCAGCTTGGAGAGTTTGATCCAGCCCCTCCAAGTTAAACTGATCAGGATCCATTCCCTCCGAAAAAACTATACCTAGTTTTAGATCCTCCATAGACGACGGGACAAATTTGATGAAGGAGGTATCGTGATGAATTGGAAATTCAATTTCACGAAGTTCAATAAATTTTTGTCGTAAGTTATCTTTATTCTCCATGACATCTGAGCTCGAGCTTCTTTGTGACAAATTCTCTGCAAATTCAACAACTTGATCCATTTGTTTCACCAGAGAATCGGTCGCAGCCTTCGACGAGTTAATGCTCTCGAGTCTCGTCACGCGTGTGGTCTCGAGAGAGGCGATAGCCTCTTTCTCGCGTTCTCGAATTTGTGCGATCATATGTTCGGCTGCTTGAATAACTTTCGCTTTCGCGCTTGCGACGTTTCTTTCCAGGTTTAACTCTGTTTCTTCAATTTGTCGAAGAACTTTCTTCAAATCGGTTCTCCTTTCTCTGACGAGTGCTGCGTTAGCCGTGATGTTTCCTTTCTCGTTTTCAGCCATGTTGTCGATTAAATCAACTTTGTGGTTTTGGTGATCCGTGATGATGCAAATATTGCAGATGCTCGATTGACACTGAAGGCAGAAAAATCTTTTGATCTGTTTCTCGTGGAATTTTTTTGAGCAAAAGTGCTGTTGCTTCAACAATGCCTCGTAATCTTGATCTTGAAAGTCCTTAACTGGCATGACTTTGTGTCCACCGAAGTCGGTGCTCATCACTTCATGAGCGTTCAAACAGTCCAAGCACATGAATCGAAAACAGTCAAAGCAGTAATGGACGTTAGACTGGCTGGTCTTCTTACAGTTACCACAAGTAATACTTGTGCCATGACCACTCTCTCGAACAGCGAGAAGACTTAATAACCTGTTGTGAAAGAAACTTGCAGGTAAATTGTGGAAGCGATTTCCTTCTGGCAGTTCGATTTCTGCCTGACACTCAGGACATCGAAATTTTCCATTTCTTTGGCTCTTTGTGGCATGTTTTTGTAAACAATCACAGCAAAATGTGTGAAAACAGGATATGATTTTCGGTTTCTTGTAGGTTTCGAGACAAATGGAGCAAATAACTTGTTCAGTAAGGTTTCTAAAGAACGACTCCATTGTAAGACGCGTACGTTTGGAAACGCTCTCTCAAAGAAATATTGTCAGAGATTCCGAGAAAAACAGGAAGTTTCCCATCGCTCGGCGTGATTGGCTGGTGGCGAATCGCGTGACGCGAGCAAGCTATTCTTCTACCAATAATCGGTGGCGTTTTGACGTCATGACTGCTTTTATTTTTTCAATAGAAAATCTGTCTCTTTTGGCCTTTGTCAGAAATTAGAATATTCTTTCATGTCAGCCACGTGGTGTAGTCAGGGGTCGGTGATGATTGAATCTGTCTGGCACTTGTGTCACTCCTTAGACTAAACAAAGTCTATTAAGAGCGGTCCAAGGCGTTTCACATCGGAAAAAATGTTTTGCCTCAAACTCTGCCCATTAACCTGTCTTTTGTAGTAAGGAAATAAAACCACATTAGTTTCTGGAAAAACGTTAAAGAAAAAATTTGAGAGCTCTCAATAATCAAAGCTCCTAAAGGCCCTTTTGTGACCCCAAAAGTCAACAAACTCGCTTCTCATAACACACGACATGCAACAAGAAATCGTTTATGTTCCTAAATTGTGCGATATATAAGGGGTTTGGAAAGCATTTCAATTTTGACATGTGCTTATTTAGAGGTTCGCCACAATTTATTTTAAAAATACCCGTCAGACAGATTTCTGAAATTGGTCAGAAGTACTCTTTCTTGGGTGATATTTCTCAAGTCCAGACCTGACCGTTGAAAACTCCGGTTGATTTCTTCTAAAAAGACTTTCGAAAGAATAGAAATATAAAAACATCGTGCACTTAATTTTCCTCGCCTTATGTTTGCTTCATTTGTCGCGGTGTAACATGCCAGCCACGTGGTGTAGTCAGGGGTCGGCTGATGATTGAATCAAGCATTAAGGCATGATTATCAATTTACTTCTATTAAATATTTTATTGATTATTTGAAGCATTCTTTGCACCACTGATATGAATCCACTCAACCTTTTTTAGCAACCGTTAGCAGTGACAATTAAGAAAGTGCTCACACAATTCACTTCCTAATGTCTCTTGCAACTTTGACCACTTCTGTATCTCCGCTTTCATAGAAGCTTTCCGCAGTAAATATAACAGCAGCAAGTTATTACCCGCATAATGCAAGGACTTGATCCGTTTCCAAGCACGCACACAGATCCGACATACTGCAACCACTTTCAACTTCATTGACTGATTCTTTATTTTCCTGGATTAGACGCAAAATTATCGTATCATAAGCATGTGCATCATAATTCTAGCAACAAGTACGATTTACTCCAGATGTAATGCGAAGGGAAAGCAGGGCCATGTTTTCTGAAAAGCTAACTACGCGAAGAACGACATGTGCTAAATAATTTTGACCACTGTGTTTTGTAATTATCGGTCTCATCAAAAAGGCGATAAAATCCGATCTGTAGCCCCTAAGCACGATAAAATAAATGAGAAAAAAAATTATATCTGAGGGCTTTAGCGTGGGAAGAAACTCAGGTAAGAACTTGACTAAACTCCTTTTGAAGTTTTATTTTTCTTTGTTGCTGTTTCTATTTAGTCTATTTTCTCGGGCTGTTTGCCTTTCCATCTCTCGCTGCTCTTCGCTAGAATTTGGCCTTATTACCCTCGCCCTTTCTTGTTCGGTTTCATGTTCCGGTGCCTCTGCCTATTTTGTTCAAGTTGTTTGTTGCTCTCTTTCGCGTTGCTCGTGACTCGTGCTCTATTACTTCTTTTTCTCTGTGTCTTTACCACCTATGTTCACGTTCACTCAATCACACTTTTCAAAAACTTGAATAAACAATGATTTCTTCCCCTTGAAATAGCTTTTCTACCAACGTTGTTGCTTTGCATAAAAGATCGCAAATTGCTGAGAAATGATGTTTTCAACGACAACTCAGTAAGAGTGATTTCTCGCCAAAAATGCGGGTTGCAAATCCTCGGGTAGCACGCGTGATGCCCTCGTGTTGTGCCTATGACTGCAATGGGACACTGCATTCGAGTATGCGCACTATAACAGTTTTCTCACGTGTGTAATAGCGCAAGCGCATACGATTGCATTCCTTTATCCTTCTCCCTTATGGGTTTCCTTTCTACGCATGTTATGTCAAGATTTGTGCTCGCATTTCAGCTGTTCCCACATGCCAAAATTAACACCTTTGTATGGACGATCGGTTATACGTTCACTCGATAAACGAAATTTTCTCGGCTCGATTGGTTATCAATACAAGCTACACATGGATTTATAATTTAAAAAGCTAATCTATTTTGCAGGGTATTTAAAGTTTTTATTTACTATATTTATTTATTACACAGACACAGTTGGGTGAATAAGCCGCATGGCCCTTGGCCGTGCGTCAGCTAAAAGTACCATCAACCAAATTCAATTCGAACCCAGAATCTCGTCGGCTTTTTGCAAGTGTTGCACCCGCGTTGTGCTGAAGAATAGCAATGCTTTGGTGGCGTGCCAGAAATTCTATTGGCCGTAAATGATAAAGTAGCACCTTGTACGTACGGTCACACACCAAACTAAATTTTCTGGCTTGATGGGTTACTATTTATTCTTATAAGCATGAGGCTACGCTGCATGCACTTCGGGCACTGCGAGCTCCGCTATTTAGATATTAAAAGCGTATTATTGCAGTGGAAATGCAGTATTCAAACGCTATCTTTACTAACTTCCAACAGGAATCACGTGGTAATGAGAATAACGACGAAACAAAATTTGTGAAGTTACGCTACGTTATAAAGGCCCAACACGTTCGCGTCAGACCGACTTTTTTTTATAAACACAAATGCATGAGGATTGAGTTATACGGATGCTCTGCTAACGGTGAGTGGGTTATTTATTTTGAAGTTATTTACTTTTCAAGACACACATAAATTCAAGTAAATCAAACGTCCTGGCTAATCCGCCAGAAATTCTGGTTTCATGACAAGCGGACTCTTCGCTCGTTAATCTCGAAGATTAATATGCCGCGAAATAGAAGCAAATTGTATACTTTACTTCGAAGCGAGATTAAAGCTTACTGCCGTTTAAGTTTCTGTTCCACTTTGCGTCTCGCCAAGTTTCTTTGAAATTTCTCTGGCAGCATTTGTATTTCTGGATGCAGAGAAGCACTGCGAGAATAGAGTGTCTGACTCATGGTAAACGCAATGATTCTGACCAGCTCTTCAAATCCGCTTTCCATCATGCTGACCAGTGAGGAACTACGTCTCCTGAAAGTCTGTAAAAGGGCCTCATATTTCGTTGAAATGTCGTTTACAACAAGAATTGCATTTGCCGAGAAACCTGACATATGCAGTTTTAGTCAGTCTCCCAGGACCATGGTTTTCCAATTCCAACTGGCATTACCTCATAATTCAAGAAAGGGGTGGAAATTATAGGGGATTCCGATCGGGCGTTATGTATGCTCTCTACTCTGTCATTGATTTTTCTTTTCTATTGGTTTCAAGTCCTATTGTAGGTCTCTTTACGATTTTTTTCAATTCGATTCTTAATCCGTGTTTTATCAGAACTAGACGGTGACAAGTCCATTGGGTTCGAGACTGGAAAGGTAGCAGATCAATCCTTGACCGCATCAAGCACTCTAAACAAGTATTACCGACCTGAATTTGGCAGATTGAACAGTTTAATTGAAGGAGGTTCCTGGTGCGCTAGAGAAACAAATACAAGCGAATATTTGCAGGTGGACCTACAGGAGATACATAAGATCAGTAATATCATACTACAGGGAAAGTACACAGGCTCTGCGCAAGGAAATGGATGGGTTACCAAGTTTTCAGTCACTTACAGTAACGATGGCATTGTGTGGAGCCGACACAGCGAGGGTGGAGTACAAGTAGGCGTCTTTTCTTTGGATGCGAACTTCCACAGCTGCTCTTTTCAATTATATTTTAATTATGATAAACTTTTAACATACTTAATTCTCAGTAATTAATATGCGAATTACTAATTATTTGATGTGGGAAGGCACTGCGCAAAGGTCTCCTTTACCTAAACAGATGAAGCCTGTGTGCATCGGCTAGTTTTGAAAGCAAAGCAGGATATATACATGATCATTATTTTACATGTTAAACACACGAAAATTTCGCGCGTTAAGCATTATTTTCCAAGCCCCGAGAAATACGGAGGATGAGCAACACTTCACATAATTATTATTTCTCGAACCATCGAATAAGGGATTTATTACTCCACTATTATTTTATTTTTAAGCATTTTGGCTTCTAGTTTTCGAAACAAATCCCAACGACCTTAGCTGAACATTGAATCGATTTATTAAACCGTGCGTGGAAGACGAAAAGAGCAAGAACGAAATTTAAGTGTCCTTTGCGATCAGCCAAACAAATCTGATGCATGCGCTTAAAAAAATCGTTGCTTAAAAAATCAAACCTGTAAAACGGAATAGATGTTCAGTGCTGTCATATTGGGTTCCTCCACTCTCCGTTCGTAGTTTTTCCTTGTTCTACAGGGTAATACCATCGCATACCATGCGCGTTCCTTGCTTTAGTATGCGTATAACCATGGAATGAGACAGCTATTTACAAAATAATTAAGACTGACTTAACGGAGGGTCAGATTGGTTGAAATAGCAAACTGTATCAAAGAGCAAAATTTCCCCCCTTGTTTTACTATTATGAAGTCAGCTCATTATTGAAGCTTCCTCTTTCGTTGAATATTGATTTTATGCTTTTAATAACAGGTATTTCTGGGAAATGACCTAAATAACATGACAAGGAATCATGAAATAGTGCCATCACTGTACGCTCGTTTTGTCCGGCTGCATGCAGTGGAATGGCATCAGCTGATTTGTATGCGAGTTGAGTTCATCGGATGTAAAGGTACGTACAACTTTTCGAAACCATTGAATTGCGGAAAAGGTCATGTCAACACCAAGAACACAAAGAATAGACGCACAAGTTCAAGTGATATTAAATGTGGTTTGACAATCTTACCATCAGTTTTTTTTCAGTGCGTCACGTCACTTCGAGAGCATAATTTGGTTAACCCTAAGTGTTGATCGTGGGTGTTTGGTGTTTATGTAGTATACAAATGAGGAATTTTAGCTGCCTGTCGAAGACGCCTGCCAAGTGGGCGATTGAACATTTTGGTTGATCAAGTAGCTATAATAATTGATAATGTATATTTCTCGACGATTTTTGTGGCGTAAGCTTTGCCTAAACTTGGCAACACAGATAACGAAGGCAATAAAGACTACCCGGTAGCCTTGTGATTTGAGTGCCAGGAATGTAGGTCAAGAGGTTCCGGCTCAAGCCGTTGTCAGGTCACTGTGTTGAGATTTTTGAACAGGTTAGGTGACTTTCACAGTGCCTCTCTACATCCACGTATATTGAAAATTTTAATTGGTTGTTTATTTTCTTTCTTGTACGAAAAGAGTCACCTCTGACCTTTAATTACCGTAGCTTGAGCGCAGAAAGAATTAATAAACAAATAAACTGATAATTTTCAACGGATGCCTTATAAAATCGTTTTGATCGTCATAATTGAAGTTTTTACATGACTTTACGCAGTTTAAGGAATCATGTCATCGTTAATTTTAACAGCGTGTGCAAAGCCTCTTGGTATGGAAAATCGCCAGTTGACGCAGATATCCGGGTCCTCCAACCCAAAGCGTTGGCATTATATCAGACTCAATAATGATCTACCGTGGTATCCCCTTACCAGCGACAATCGAATATTTATCCAAGTTGTTGTAAGTCCCTATGGCAAAACTGTTACGGCTTTGGCCATCCAGGGACACAGCTACTGGGTCACTTCCTTTACACTGGGAACAAGTGAGGATGGCTCAGAGTGGCACGATTATTATGTCGATGGAAAAGTTGTGGTAAGAGTTTAAAAGGGTCGGAGACTGATCGTAACGATTCATTGGCAAACGTCGTCTAATCATTTAGCATTCAATTTGACTGCTTCTCATGGATAATACAAACATTACTTGATTTTAATTCATATCATTTATATTTCAAAAACTTTTGGGACGAGAAAAGAGAAACTATTGACGCAAGAAAAGCTTGCGGAGTTTAAAGCACTAGTTTTACATGTAATAGTGTAGTTTGATCGTCCGGGTGAGTGTAGTCCTGAGAAGGACTGTTGTCGGTAGTGTTGACTGACGTTACGACAACCTGAGCGGAAGTCATCATCAGAGTCAAGTGATTATTTGTTGTCTTTTGAATGTTCTCGACTGACAACAACTATTCACTTGACTCTGATGATGACTTCCGCCCAGGTTGTTGAAACGTCAGTCACCACTACCCGGACAATCAAACTACAAAATTACATGTTACCCCCGGGTTAAAACCATTCACTATAATAGTTTTACAGTTTGCAGCGATAGGTTTCTGCAGATTATCAACCAATACTGATACTTAGTCGAACTTACGGTATTTGCGTATGAAGTAGCTCTGAATCTCAACTCAATAGTTTTTGTTTAAGACGAACAGACCAAATGGCTGTGTTAGCCGAGTTATGAGTTTGAGTTTAATATCATTCTTCAAAAGTTGCCTTGGTCGAACATGCGATAACGACCTTTCTTTGTTATTTGACTCATTTACTCTGGAGTTATGATATGTCGACTAAGATTAGAACGTATGCAACAATGAAATGAATGCAAACCAACACTCGTGAGAAAAATATAGTTGGGAGCTTAAGCACAAAGGTTTCTGAGACGCGATCAGTTTGTGGAAGTTAAAAGTTCTCATTGCCAGAACGGTCCTCAGCTACGTTTATTGTTGCCTGTATACAAACTCGCTATGTGCTCCTAACAATTTTTGAATTTGCGAGGCAGCCAACTATATATCCTCCGAAACTAATATTCCGTTGAGTATTCAAGTTAATGGATCCCACTGAACAAAATTTTTTTTTATATCACATAATCTCTAAATGTTTTTTCTTTCCTTTACCGTGGCAGGTTTTTCTAGGTTGCATAACTCGTTATCAAACTTTACGCCGGCCGCTGCCTAAGAAAATTACATCACGCTATATCAGGCTCTACCCTCAAACTTGGGATCATACACCACATATCAGTGTGGAGTTCTATGGATGTAATGGTAAAATAAGAATTTATTTACAAACGCACACAAAAAACTGTTTTATTTTTAATTGCTGCAAACAAATAACTCTTACGCAAACCATTTTGGTTGCCGTCTAATAGTGAAACAATAATTCGCTGTGCAGAGAGTGGTTAAACGCTCTCCTTATCGTCAAAGAAGCTCGATATTGCAATATTCACTAATTAGCTGCAAACTTCTAGAGTGTGCCGAACCACTGGGAATGGCCAGTGGTCTCATACCAGACTCCGACATTCAAGCTTCGTCATTCAAAGTGGGCGGAGAACCCTGGCGCGCTCGTTTAGGATCTGGTTCGGGTTGGATTCCATCATCTGTGGCATCTTCAGAATACATTGTGGTAGATCTTGGAGAGTCAAAAGCCATAACATACATCGAGATGGAAGGAGATTCTCTCAAGAACCATTGGCTGAAATATTTTTTCTTGGACTACAGGATGAGCACTCGAGACCCGTGGACAATTTATGAACCTCGTGGAATAAGTGGGGTAAATATCTCGCCTTGATAGTAGGAGGTTTTTGATATCATATTTCTAGGATCTGTTATGTTAAAGCCAGCTGATAAACAAACACCTTTTTGTTCGTTTGTATTTTTTTTAATATCCAATATCTGTTCGGTGTCATTTGTTGTTTCAAGTCGTTGTTGTCGTTGTTGTTTTTTAAACTTGTTCACTTTGTAAGTTAGTAACTCTATTCCAAACACTATGGTGCCAGCATGTCATGCTATTTGTCATCTGTGCTGCATTCATTTGACCACCAAATTTCATAATTACAATGCACATTTAGAGATGAAGATCACCTGATTATCAGTCCGTTATAATTGGTGGTAGGGTATCGCAATATTTTCTATTTTCACAATTTTGCGTCAATTATTACATATCATTGGGCAACGTGCTTCCAGGTCCGCAGCACAACCTCAAAATGAAATGGCTATTAATTTCGTGTCACCGGTTTTTTAAAACTTAATCTATTCGTATTGTGCAACGGCTGCTACATGTTATCTTAAAGGGTAAACAAATTAAACCTATCAAGGTCTTTGCTTTACTTGTAAATTAGCTTGAAAGATCGTCTTCTGCGCTGTCAGATTTATGAAGCACGTTCGTCATCTTGGCTCAATTAATGCTTGTCTTTCATGCAGAAAATATTGGGTGTAGAGATGAAAAACATGGTGGTGACTATTAAAACAGAACAGAAGCTAGAAGCAAGATTTATAAAGATCCGCGTTGAGAATTGGCATTTAGGGGCCAATTTAAAACTTGAATTTTATGGCTGCGACAAAGGTAATACTTATCTAGTAGACTATACATCACAATCGGGTAACTTAGTGTTAACAACTGAATTGAAAACGTAAATTACCCACCGTAAAGGGTAAAAAAGCTGACGTTTCGAGTGTTAGCCCTTCGTCAGAGCGATTGGCGAAGGGTTAACGCTCGAAACGTCAGCTTTTTTACCCTTTACGGTGGCTAATTTACGTTTTCAACTCAGTTGTTAACACTAAATTACCTGCCATACTCTCCCACCGACGCATCACCACAGTTTCTTTAGAAACTTATCCCTTTATACATCACGATCGATAGCCACTATGACAAAGTGTGCAACGTGCGATAAACTGTTGATATTTGCTCTGAAATTCACTCCTCACAAGATTATTGAAAACTGATGTTCACTCCAATCACTTTGCTCTTTAGTCTTTTTGTTTTAGGAGATTTCCTTTGCGAGATGCATGAATCTGCAATTCCAAAAGGTGGTGATGGGCCTTAAGTATTACATAAAAAATTTATGAGTTGATATATGATCTGTGCACAGCAATAAGAGATGGTGGCCAACCAATTTCAAATACACAACTTTTTTGACGTAGCTTTTCATCACTATTTAGCAAAGACAATAATTTTCTTTCAGTATGTTCCGACGAAATCGGAATCGGAACTTGGGTAATAAAGGACCCTGCTTTCACCGCCTCTAGTTACCTGTCTTCACGCAGATACCCATGGATGGCACGCCTCGATGGTAGAGGGGCCTGGTGCCCAAGCGAAAACGACACTCAGCCTTTCTTACAAGTTAGTCAATTATCTTACTGTTAGTGCAGAATAGGTCAAAACTTTTGTTGCGTCAAATAAGTGTATATTTACTGTATATACATGTGCTATATTAAAAGCAGAAGTTTTGGACGAATAAAAGTCTGGCAAATATTATAAAAGGCGTAAAGTAAAAGAACCGTAGAGGTTTATCGGAAAACGATTTTGAAGTTAGATGGAACTATCAATAGTTTCTTCTGTATTCTGACCTAAGCGAATGAGCTTTGAAAGAGGAAATTATATGTACGACACCTCTCTTTCTTTGAATTGTGCATTTGAATGGTGGAAGTAGTGAAATGACAATCCACAAGAGCTTGTAAACAGTTTATGATCTCATGTGATCCATTTGGTTTCACGAAGTGTTTTTAATGTCACACAAGATATGATCTAGATCTATGATCTGTGTTTTCTATCTTTTTTATCTACCGTTATTTTGCTAGCCATATGTGCTGTGAATGCAAAAATAATGATAACTTCTTTCCAGCCTAAACATAATAAACATGGAAAAGACAAAGATACTTATTTTATAATTCAATGTGCATCTCACCCATCGCAAAGTTTTTAAAATAATTTTTACCTGAACTTCTACTTATATCTATCAGGTGGACCTTGCGAAACCATACAAATTACGATTTATTGCCACCCAAGGATTCCACAGCTCGAACAACAGCGCTTGGGTACAGCAGTACACATTGCACTTTCGCAAAGAACTTTTATCTTGGATTCCATACTCCGAGAATAGCACAGAAAAAGTGAGTTATTAAGATACCTCTTTCGCTGCAAATCAGAAAATAATAACTGCTTTCAGCAAGGCTAATATAATTGATTTGTACAGTTACCTAAACTTACTGACTGCCTCCGGACACAAGCAAAGCCTGAATAATTGCTTCAAGCTGGTTATCGCGACCGCAGCAAAATAATTGTGTCCATGCACATATGCAAGTTTAACTTTGTCGGCGAAATACTCAGGAAAGTTTTTCAAACACATAACGTCACTTGTGATTGTGCAGATAGAAAAAAAAGATGATAACAGTTTGATATTGAAATGTACTTTTCATTATTTTATTCCAGCTAATTAACTATGAGCCTCATATCCGCCAGGAAAATGAGAATTTATTTGTTGTTATGATTTAGTTGTTTCCAGGCAACTCAGATGGAACGTCGATAGTCAAAAACAGGCTCAATAATGTTTCCAATGTGCGATATATTCGTCTTCATCCTAAGAAATGGCACACATTTGCATGTATAAGAGTCGAGTTATACGGATGCAAAGGTAAGACTAATCCGGGTTATGAATGATTTCCTAATTGAGGTCCTTTATAAAACCGCCATCTGATTCCTCTATCGGCGGAGTAAAAGTGTTCTCCTATGTCCAAATGAATCCTCACCACCAAAAAGTGAACACTGACAAAAGCGACTTGTCTAAAAAAGCAGAGGTTTCTCCCCATATCCAGACGGCGCCGTTATATTTCCTTGCATTTTCGCAAGAATCAATGGGCATAGATTCTTACGCAAACCAAAGACGATAGCACAATACTTGGGACTGAAGTGACTCTAGGTCTTTCACCTTATTGTTAATATTCTGTAGTGACATTTTTGAACTTTTGAATTATTTTTTGCCATTTTAGATTTCGATGAAGAAAGCTTGAAGCCGTTAGGAATGAGCGACTATCGAATTCCTAACAATAGCATTTTAGCTTCAGACATTTACTTGGATACTGAGGTGCACGGACCATGGATGGCTAGGTTACATAGTACTGCGGGATGTTGGGTATTTCCAAGAGGTGAAAACTTTCTTCTTGTCGACCTGGGTGAAGGTTTAGTGTCCGTAAGTGGAGTCGCTACGCAGGGATGTAACAACAAGGTTATCGAAAAATACGGACACGTGCTGGAGTATAAATTGTCCTTCAGCGATGATGGTGCAGACTGGTATTATTATCGAGAGGGAGGGGGCCCTAAGGTATGATTATGTCTCATTTACTCCCTATCTTACAGAGTTTTTTTGAAAAGCAATACACGTAGCTGCCATCCATAAACGAAAAGTTAAAGATGCACTGTAGTTTAAGTTTCCCAAATTTTGTAATAGTTTGAACGGTAGTAAAAAGCCAAATAGGTCATCTTTAACTCATCTAAATTCTTCTCATACAATGTTAAGTTATTATCAATACTTTTTCATGTCATCCAATAATTGACAATTTGCTTTAGTAAAGTAAGGAAAACTACTCTGATTCCTTCCTGCACATTCAAAATGTCGAAGGAAATCGCCTCTGGCAGTCTAGAAGATTTTTTTCTTTCTTTCTCGAATGATTTGAAGGCCATATCATTTCTTTAAGCAGGTTTTCAGCGGTAATACCCCTGACGAAACAGACCTCCCTGTACGTCACGTGTTTACCCGGTCATTTTACACTCGTTACGTCAAGTTCCTCTTGACTCGCTGGGTGTTAGATACCACTTCTCCTGCGCTGAGGGTGGAAATTTATGGCATCAGAAAAGGTGAGACAATGTTTCAACTCTAAGAAAAAAAGGAGAAAGAGTATTATAAGGTTTGTACATAGAATTATTTCCCGATCAAAGACATTAGCTCCAAAATCGATTTTATCGCGAAATTCTAACTGCTGGTCTTTCGGGAGAGATAGGGAGGGAATGAGGAGGTGAATGGAATGAACAGACCAGAATGCCAAAAGAGCTGAGAGAAGGGGCTGACCATAGCCTTTTCCATGCATATAGTCTTAATTTATAGCAGCAAGTGTCATACCACCTCTCTTGTACTTTATCTTATGTTATGTCCTGATCTTCCATTGCTTTCTTTTCTAAAGGAGGGGAGTTGCTCGTGGAAGCTAATGTTTCCATCAGCGCATCAAGCTCCCGATATCCGCTGACACCGCAAGACTGCTTACTCAGTATTAGGCGAACGTGGTGCGCTGAGTTCGATGACGAGATGCAATACCTCCAGATTGATCTGAAGCGAAATAGTTACATTGAGGCGATCATAACCCAGGGGGCAGTTGTTGAAGAGTCCTGGGTTGAGAATTATACGATTTCGTATGGTCATTCCTATGATTTGTGGAAAAAATATGAAGAGAATGGCTCTAGCAAGGTAAATGCTGTGAAGGCAAATCCTATAGATATAATTATGTTTGGAGATCGGTCGGCCACGGAAAAAACTCGCTAATCCATTCACTCAAAAAACTGTTGTATTTTTGACAAATGATTATTTCATTTGCATTTACCAGGTCTTTCAGGGAAATAACGATAGCTCATCCATTGTCACTCGGAAATTTATGAAACAAGTCAGGGCGCGATTTATCAGGATTCATCCTGTCAGCTGGATTGGACATATCTGCATGCGATTTGACATACGAACCGTTGGTCAGTATTTTTTGCATCTACCAAAAGTGCACGGTCATAAGATAATGATTACAATATGGCTTCACCTTACAGTTTTTCCTCTTTTCAAATGATTGAAATAGAATTGCGTATGCCCTAAACTAATTATTAGTAACGTTTCCTGACTATTGAATTTTTTATAACACAGCAAGCTCGTGTATTTTTAACTTAATTACTCTTTATTCATTCCATCGTGTACTTTTATTTAAAGCCATTTTTATCGATTTCTTGTTAAAATCGAAAGATCGAAGTATACCTCTTGGAATACAAAAACACAAGATTGCCAATTCAGCCATAACTGCATCCAGTCATGCTGGAAGTGGCAACGAACCATGGCGGGCCCGCTTGGATGTAGGCTTCTTGAGCGAAGCGTGGCGCGCAGGAGAAGACAGCCACGATCAGTATTTACAGATTGACTTGGGTACTACTCATAACATCACTCACGTGGCCACTCAAGGAAGTCATCGGACAGATAAAAGCTGCTGGGTGACTCAGTTTAATTTGTCCCACAGCTTGGATGGGTCTGAATGGAACAAGTACGAGGAAAATGACTCAGTGAAGGTATTATCGAGGTTTTAACTTTGGTTTTGATAGGTCATCAAGTTGTCTATTTCCTCGTGCTTTTTAAATTAAAATTTGCACCTGTTTGCGTCGGAATTATCAGGAATAGAATAAGAGGAAAGTGAAAGGGTGATAGGAAAATGAAATAATTAGTGCAGTTGAATATCAAATCACTTGTACGCCTCGTTATTTTAGTTCTTACCTCATAATAATGTCATTGGGGCATATTATGTACACAAAAATTGGAAACTAACCATCATTTGCTACCTCTCAGGATGAAAATTCATTGAACTTTGTCTTAGATATTTTGAAATTATATATCGTGTCTCAGTATTGTAATGTATAGGTTTTTTGTTGTTCACTTCAGCTCTTCCAGGGGAACACCAATGATTATGGCATTGTTCAGCAACAGATGAATAAAGAAATTGAAGCTCGCTACATCCGATTTCTGCCTGTCACGTGGTTCAATCACGTGTGCATGAAGGTCGAGCTATATGGTTACCAAGGTATGATTGATAACTGATTGTTTGATTGAAAGACGGATTGACTGTCTGACTGAGTAATTATCTGAGTCATTTAGTGACTGAATACTTGATTGAGACCCAACAGCATGAATTATTTGACATGAAGCTGCTTATGATCTGATTGGCTCCCAGTTTGGGAAAGATGGATGGTTATTTACGCAAGTGCAGGGGGAGGGGGGAGGAGAAGGGGAAAAAGGGGAAGGAGGGGGAACAGGGAGGGGGATTGCTTTGTACCCGCTCACATAAAAACGCCCGAAGCCAGCTTTTGGCCATCAAAATCTATTACGTATATCCCAAGCGTCTTCGATGAAGATGGCTGATTATTTCTCTTGTTCTTTTTTTGCGTTTTTATGGATCAAAAAGGGGAAGAAAGAATTATATGGAAGAAAACACATGACAAGGCCAGCCGTCTTAACCTTATTCATATATTCATTTGTTTAACCATAGTTTGCGGCTTCCCTCTTGGTGTAAACAATGGAGAATTGTTGAGCGATTCGTTCACAGCGAGTAGTTACGGTATGAGCAACGAGCCTTGGAATGCGAGACTGAATCGCTTGATTGGGAATGGAAGCTGGTGCGCCGAGAAAAATATCACAGGAGAGTATCTGCAGATTGACCTGAAACATAGTAAAATGCTTACCGGAATATCCACTCAGGGAAAACATGATAAAGATGGAAAATGGGTCACGGAATATTCGTTGTATTATTGGGAAAAGGAAGGACTTACTCCTCAGCCTTATACTGTTAATGGATCTACCAAGGTATCAAGTCAAATGAACTCATATTTTTCGTGTTCTTAGACATTTTGCATACTTTATCGCATGGTGTCGTAAAAGACTCTCGCATGGCTTATTTCATGGTTTGCGTCTGACTCGTCATGCGTCACTTGGGTGGATGTAGTTCTTCATTTCTCTCTTAAAATCTGCCCTATTCAGTATTCTCGCACTATTTTTGTCTCCATGAAGTGTTTTTTTTTCTTCACGTCTCTTAGACATTTCTTTTACGACAGTGAATTCTGTTTCAATATTTATTACCTTTCTTTTTTAACACTTTCCTTTCTGTCTGCGAAGACCTCACTCAAACATCCTGGATTAAGTAACACGTATTTCTACCTCTGCCAAAATTTATCCTGAATCCCATCGCGAGCCAGTGACGAATAATGTGAAGTATAACTTGTCCCTGACAGTGGTTTAACCCAACTTTTTTCGAAACTGATCATCCAGGAAGACTCTGACCCCCATAATACCAAGGCGTGTTGCCTTGACTTTCTTAACCTTACTATGATAGGCTGGTAGAATCGAAGCGACGGAGGGAGTTCATTGTAAGGGTTTCTGCCGCAGCGAGTTGAAGCTGTGTTTAATTTGTTGTTATTTATTTATTAATTTATTTTAGTCGGTCTAGAGTAACCTGAATATCTAATATTTGTCTTGCATTTAATGGATTAACAGGTTTTCTCTGGGAATATCGACCAGTTTGCTACGGTTACACACAGTCTTGATGGCGTTAAAAATGCACAGTTTGTCAGGCTTGAGGTGAAGTCATGGCATCGAGACATATGCATGAGAGTGGAACTTTTCGGATGTGATGGCAAGTTACAATTATTGTTATCATTTCTTCACGTCCCTATTTTTGCCTTCTCCACTATTTTGGTGATGCGAGTTTAATTCAGTCTTTGTATATTCAATATATTAAGGTATAATCTGTAATCAAAATGAAATTACAAAAACAATTATACTTTTCCTATAATGAAATCATATTTAATGCTTCAGTTTTGGAGAACAGAGGTTTACTTACTCATTAAGAATCCTTCAGCTGTTAACGAAAGAGTACATTCCTTTAATAACTTTGGGACCAGCATTAAAATCAATGGAAAATGTTACTCTGAGTTGGAAAGTACTTGGGTATTCTTTTACTTTTTAAACTGGAAGTAAAAAATACGAATTTTTTATTCGTAGCTGCGCAATTCATTCTAATTTTCAATGCTTCTCCGATAATATGACGAATGTATCTTTGGTGAACAAGACACGCAAAAAATACATAGAAAGTATAATTTTGCCTTTTTTTCGTTTTGATTCGAAACTAGCTAATCTCGTGGATGGTGGGTACAGCGAATGGTCGGCTTGGTCGACGTGCAGTGCTACCTGTGCAGGAGGTTTTCAGTATCGACAGCGCACCTGTGACAATCCTGAGCCCGAGAATGGGGGTAAAGACTGCTCATCACTGGGAGCTGATAAAGAGGAAGCGATTTGTAATACACACATTTGCCCAGGTGGGACTATGACTACACTTCAAGTGAATAAAGATAAATTTTATACCTCTATGTAGGTACATACCGAGAAAATATTAACTGCCTCGGACGATACTCAAGACCGCAGTTATCCTAATACAAGCTGACCTACATGTAGAGCGGCCATCAGCTTGTTTAGTATGCTGCCATTTATTGGACTATAACTTTAGAGATCGAATGGGGCTTTGTGTCCACTACAAACCACTTGGAAGTTTGAAAATTGAGTTTGCAACAAGAATTTAAACAACTCGCTAAGAATTAATCAAATTGCATGCCGTCCCTGAAAAGAAAAGTAATGTTTATTTCCTTTTCGAAAATTATACATTTTATTTCATTTTTTATAAACAGATTTTAGTTTAATGAATTTGAGTCATATTATTTCTCCCAAGTGCAGCGTATCATCTCAAATGACACGAAGACAGTTGAACACAAAAATAATTAACAGTAATTTTAATTCAATTGTAAAGCAAGGAGATTCAACGCTGATAACTGAATTTCCATACTTTAAAGTAAGAATTTAAAGTGTTTAAATCTTCAGCTTGGAATGTGAATGTTATAGAATAATTTTTTTTCCAATTTATTCGAGTTGTTAGTGATCATGACCCAAATTTATCTACTACTCTATTGAAAAAAATTGACTACTGACAATAATTTACCTACTGTGAAATTTCAGCACTCGACGTAACAGTTCCTTCCGTTGTAGTAAAAGAAGTTCCGGTTGTTATCAGGATCAAAAACTGCGGTCGGGAGGTTGTGAGTTTGGATTTTGGGGATTGCAACGTAACCAACACATCGCTCTGCGAAATTGAACATATTTACAACAAAACTGGCTTTGTGGAACTAGTTTTACAAGCTAAAAATCACACCATAACGAGACGCCTTATCCTGGTGCAGGATGCTATTACAGGTTTTGTGGTGAACAAAAAAGTTAACGCAATTTCATTTAGGGATACTTTTTTAATTTATTGGAAAATCGATACGGGTTCAATGGTTCGTTTTTCGATCGATTATGGAGACAACTCGACAGAAACTTATTCATTTTCTTCTGTTCAAAAAGTCCTACAGAGAAATAATTCTCATATCTACACTGGCCTGGGAGTATTCTACGTCATCATAATGGCCATGAATGAGTTGAACAGCATCACAATATCTGAACAAATTATAGTTGAAATTCCAGTCAATGTTTCGTGTTTGCTTATCAAGAATCTTGGGCCCTTTGATAACATATACCAGAATGACAGTATTGAAATAAAATTGAATGTATCTGATGGTTCTAACCCGGAATTTTTGTTTATTTTGGGCGATGGAATAAATCTTACACAAAGATCAACAGAATTGGTGTACAATTATCCGCAAAGTGGACTGAAAAATATTAGCGTAATTGTTTACAACAATATAAGTGCGTATCAGGTACGAACTGTTATAAATGTCCGAAAAGTCTTTTCACTTGGTAATGCAACTCTAGAGGTTTCTTCAGCCAACGTTACAGAGCCGGCATTGATGATCCTAAATGTCAGTGAAGGGTTTCCGTATCTATGCTTTTGGTATTTTGGAGATGGGAGTTTCATTCAAACATCTTCTTTTCAAAACAGTTCATTGATCTACCATGTTTACAAAACAATAAATGTTTTCAACGTAAACATTAACTGCTCAAACAACTTTGGCTTTATAGTCCAAAAAGCAACTGTTACGGTACAGCAAGCAATTAAAAGCCTAACTTTCACCAACAACTGCCCGAGGCAAATCGATGAAATGGTAGTTTTTAACATATCAACAGAAGAAAGAGGAACGAATTCCTGCTTTGTTGTTAATCTTGGTGATGGAACATTTTTTGGGTTTGGTCACGAAGACTGCAGCCATGAAAACGTATCGGTACGATTCTTAGGCTTCGCTGGAAATTATTTTTCTATCAACTACAACTACTCTTCGTTGGGAAGTTATGATGTAAGCGTGACAGCGTGGAATCGTGTTTCTCGTTCCTTCCTACAGGACAAAGCCCTTGTGGTAAAAATACCTTGCAATTTTCCCACCATAACAGTACCAGAGTTTAAAAAAGATATAAATTCTCGAACAGTGTTCACTCCATTACAGGTGGTTCGTTTTCGTGTTTTTATTACGAAAATCGATTGCAAGGCAACTGATCAAAAAGATATCATTTGGACTGTTTCTGAGGTGTCATCTTTGCCAAAGGATAAATCTGGAGCCCATACCGTTCTTAACCCAGACAACAAGAAACTCGAGGAGCTAACTATACAGAAAAAGACCTTGACATATGGTGTATATATGATTAGGTGTAATGTCAGTATGAGAGAACAATACGATGTGTACAGCATTGAAGAAGGCTTCATTGAAATACAAGGCAATGTTTTGATAGCAATAATCGAAGGAGGGAGTCTCATTCAAAAAGCCTTTGGTAAGCCCTACTTACTGGACGGTTCGGATTCCCGTGACCCTGATGACGCTGAACCCAATTTACAGTACTACTGGCTTTGTCAAAATGCTTCCTGGGAAATACAGGAAGATTTAATGTCCATGACAAGCGAAACTTACCTTCTTAATGTCTCTGATTACAATGCATCCACTTTCTGCCATAGATCAAGAAACGGAACTTTAATGAAGGGCGGATCGTCCATTGAAATTCACACAGGCACACTTGGGTTGCATTCTTCCTATGCAGTGGCCCTTTTTGTCTCCAAGACAGTGAATAATCACTTTCGAATCTCAAGCTTTACTCAGGTGGTAAAGATTGTCGATGGAGATCCACCAGTTATCAAAATCAGGTAAGAAGATACCTTCAAAGCACTATCATATTTCGAGTTTATAAGCAAGTTTTTTTGTGATACGTCCTGTCAATAAACCAAAGCTTAGTTCAATTTCTATTTTAAATTCCATACGATCATAATTTACTATATAATTTTTCCTAAGGCTTTTCCTTGGGCTAGTTATTGAATTTGAATTAAAAAAAAAAAAACTAGAGGTAGAGATACTGTGGTAAAGATTGATTGTATCTAATGTAAAATTCGCTCTGAAGAGTTCACCATCTGTAGAGTGTACCTTTTTAGCTGAACAGTTAATTCCTTAAAAATATCACTATAACAGACGACCACATGTTTCACGTGACTTTGAAATAAATGTATTCACTAGGTGCAAACGGAACTGTGGTGCAACTGTTAACGCTGCGGAAAGATTTCTCCTAGAAGCCCAAATTGACCCCTTGGAATCACTTAACACTTTACAAGAAAGATACCAATGGAGTGTCTACGAGAAAATTGAAGAAGGAGAAACATTTGCCTGGACGAAATTCAAAGATACCGATGCATCAAATGTTAATCATATCTATTTCCTTGAGAACACTCTTAAGCCTGGGAGGTCTTACAAGGTGTCTGTTATTGGAATGATGCATGGTCGAGCGGATGGATACAGTGAGTTGGACTTCTATGTCAATATCCCACCTCGTGGTGGAAGTTGCTTTGTTGACAAATCTGAAGGCTATTCAGACAAGACTTCGTTTTTGTTCCAGTGCAAGGAATGGGCTGACGAAGATCTTCCATTGTCGTACGAGTTTATGTATTACACGCGTTACGGGGTCGTGTTTCTCTTGTATGATGATATTTCACCTGTTTTTGTTACCAAGTTACCACTCGGTGATGTGGAAAAGAACTTTACCTTGAACTTGCAAGTGAAAGTAATCGATGCTCACGGCACATACAACACCACAAAAATCGACGTCCAGGTATGTAAACAGGAAATTGATTGTCCGGAAAAAAAGGCTTTGCCATTAAGTCGTGATTATTCCTTGTACTGGATGTACTAGTAAGGAAATAATTTCGTTGGACCACCATCTTGTTCTTCCAATGTTTGCTTTTTATAGTTTTAGATTTATCTGTTTTCATAATGCGGTTCGGATACATAGCCGGCAAGTAGTACCAGAAGAACCAACAAAAGTTTGTAAACATACCAAGCGCCGTAATTGACACTATAATAACGTGAACAGAGACGAAAATTCCTCAACGAGAAAACAAAATGGACATTCTTTGTAGGACATACATATATATCATTTGTGTTTATCTGAACCTGGCTAAAAAACAAGGTTTCAGCCTTTGTATATTTGCCATTACAAATTAAACATAATGCTATTTGGGAAAGACCCACGGGTCTTAATACTGCTCCACAATACACTTTGTATTTTCTTATTTTATCAAATTTGGTGACTATTTAAAATCAGTTAGATTTTGCCGTCTGATATTCGCTTGGTTAACGTTAATTCTATATTAAGAGGAGATGTTGTTGTGCGACTTCTTGGTCTAGATTGAGTTAACCTGTTAAATAACTACTGTATGTATAACAGGGTAATTTAGTATTATTAACTAAGTTGATAATACGAAAATAGCCTAGATGGACCCATCGTGAATGATTGCAACGCGGATTACCGTCTATTTGATGAGAAATTCATCTTCAAATTAGGACATAAAGTGTCGCTTGTCCACTTATTTTATGGAAAAGTGATCACAGCAGGAAATAGCTTTTACTCCTTAAGTATAAGAAATTGAAAGAACTCGCTGGGGAAGGCACTTCACCCCACTTCATTTGCATGAGCGGGCGAACAATTTACCACTTCAGACTGTACACAGCATCGCTCTAAAAGTGTCATGTAGAATCCGAATGAGATGGTCAAATGTACAAATATTTTCCACAGTATATCATCTAACTATTTGTTTGTTTCACAAATATCATTTTCCATAATAAATTGGTGTTGTTTTTTTTCTATTGGTTCAAGGAAGTACTACTAGTTTCATCTGTTATCCGCTTAATTCCAGGTATTTCTCGGTACAAACAAACAAAATGAGACTTTATCAAAGTTCCAGAACTTCGCAATTAAGTCGTTGTCTTCACTAATGGAAGAGGGAAAGACACAGGAAGCCACTCGTGAGATGAATGCGATCGCCTCCGTTCTAAATGCCTTTGCATTGCAAAATGGAACCACAGAGAAAGAGGAACGCAAACAAGTGAGGCCTTTAGTTTCTCTATACCGTTTTAATGTCCTTTTGAGTTATTAAACATTAGCACCGACTAGGTAGTAGCAAGCTTGAGTTGTTCTTTAATCTTTCATCATTTCTGTTAAATACTATTTTAATGCATTTTTAGGAGTCTAGATGAAATTATTTTCTTCGTCTTTTGCTGTCGTACTGGAGGAGCCTGAAATTTTGAATTTTAAACTACCATACTTAGGTTTCGTCCAATTGCTCTGAATCCTGTTGCATGTCTATGGTCTGGGAAAATTAGATAATGATGATCAGTTAATTTATTTCGTCTCCCAACGTAGACTCAGAAACGTTGAAATCTGGATCACAGCTTGATATACCTCGTGAACGTGACAAGTGATTAAAAATTCCATCCTTTTAACGACAATATGTGACTGATCAGCTCAAGGTCTTGTATTTCTTAGTTAAGAGCGACGATGGCAACTGTTCTTGCAAATAAAACAGCATCGTCTCTCTCTGATGTGAAGCAGTTGGGATCAGCCTTAAATCAAGTGACCCTAATTAGAGACGAGGTTCCTGTTGATATTCAGGTAAGAAACAGCAAACGAAAGGCACGTTGTTTTGTGGGTTTACAAGTATTGAAACATGAAACAACTGGAGGAAATCGAGATGATTGTGTTATTGTCCATTGCTTTCCCATTTAGGATCTCACATTCACGAGGTTTTTTTTTTACTGTCTATACTTCGCTACTTGTATGAACGATTTGATTGAAGCATTGAAGTCCTCAAACAAAGTGCATACCATTCGTGATACTGTTCTGAAATTTCAGGAAATTAGTCTCAAATCTTTTAAAGACATGGCGGATTTGATCAATAAAAAATCGCATGACAAGGCAACTTCCACAAGTCTCATCAACGACACAGCCATCATAGTAGGAGCGGGCTTAGTCAATGTCATCATGGCGTCCAGCGATTCGGCTCGACTTGACGGGGAATATCCTTCTCAGGACTCGCAACCGTATTCTAATGATACTGTAGAAAAGGTATGTTGAGTAGATGATGTTCTTCATAAATCAGACATTTTGAATCAAAGAACAACTCACCACAACGCATAGAGAAGCTAATCCCGTTACAGTGCAATAGAATTTTATGGAATTCAAAGTTCTCTCCTTCGTTTCGTTTAATCGTGAAATAATCTTGATTCTAATAGGGAATGGGAATGACCTTAACAACTACCCTTAACAATGGTTTCGTTCACTAAGCAACAAATGGGAACAGTCTTTCACTTACATTACATCCAATACAAATACTCCTATTCTAACTCATTGAAAACCTTTAAGTAACCTGTCTGTCAGTTTTTTAACTCTCGACATTTCTCTAATTGTTACTAGGCAAGGGTAATTGCGCTTGATACCATGGCAACTTTGGGTAATGTTACTGATGTGTTGAGTTCTTTAACGATTCTTGGAGAAGAACCTCTGATTATGTCTGTACCTCGAATGTCAATGGTTCTACAGAAGATGAGATCGGACATAGTTGGCGAACACACCGTTGGGAATGGCCAAGTGTCTGTACACTTGCCTAACCTTACAGAGGTATTCGGTGGAATTTCGGCCAGTGGATACGTGGATTTACAGGTATCCATTATGATTTTCATATTAGTTACATCGATTGTTTAAGTTTGTCATTGAACCGAGGGCAGGCAAAACGTTGAACTGAGTAAAGTGGTCATATCTCAGGGAATAGAGGAAACGTGAATGAAAAAGGTGAGTAGGAGTAGGGAAATCATAAACCATTTACCTTCATTCTTCTCCTACACTCTATATTTTAATTGCCACCCTTTCTTGTTTATTTTTGTTTTTTAAAAAAAATTATGTAATTGGCATTTTCCCAATTGTAAAGCTAATAGCCAGATACATTTACTGACTCTTTACATTTTATTTATAGGTACTTGTTTTTCCTACCAACCCATTTACGTGGGACAGCACAGCTTCGACCATTTCTTCCCACATTCTCACGGTTATGCTCAAAGACGAAAAAAAAACTGAATTAAACGTATCTTCTCTTAAAAATGAAATCAGCCTGATTATACCCCAAAACATAAAGTTGCTTCCGGAACCATCACCAGCATTCATGAACGGAGGCAACGGCAGTATTCGTTATCATAAATTTGACATCACAAACGTGGAACACCCAATGAGTTTTCGGATAAAACCTAGCAAAAACGATGTATTTTTTGCGATCTATTGGGGCTATCAGGAGCGTCCCGAGATGAGAGACCATAACTTAGTCACTGTTTTGCCAGACTTTTCGTCATGCAGCGTTCTTGATGGCAGCCGTGAGACCTGCGAGTATGATCCTTACATGGTATTCATAAGCGGATCATCTATACCAAGATCTGGCGAATATTACCTGGGTATCAGAAGTTATCGGGCATCAAATGGTACACGGTCTCGCATGCGGAGGTCTTGTTTCGATGGCGCTCGAATCAAACGCTCTTGTATAACTTATAAAGATCCTCCACCTCGACCAACGACTGATCCTCGGGGGGAATACAAACTTCAAGTACCCGTCTACGATGCTGATAAAGGCGTCAATTATACAGTTAACAGTTTTACATCACCATGTAAATTCTGGGATGTCAAGAACGAGACATGGTCTTCAAAGGGATGTAAGGTAAGTACTATTGTTATACATGTCGTCATTATTGATTGACTCGTGGTACAGTCGCAGAACTAAAATTTTGTAGCCGATTCAAGGGATCCGCTTGCGACCTACTAGAGTTATAATTTTTGAAGCTCGAGGCTGAGTTATCTTCAAAATGAGGAACATTTCTTTCGAAAGAATTTCAAAGGCGCATTAACATGTGTCCTTGCCGAACTTGGTATTTGGTATTTATCAATAACCACAACGTTATCGCCTGACATGATACATGATGTTATGATTAACGAAAAAAGAGGCCACTAGTGTGCTCGGTTCTGTTGTGAAGCGCCTACGAGGCAAGAGCATGATAAAAATTTACGGGGAAGCATGAGACATGGGTGAGTGTTTCCGATTCCCTTTTCTTGAGGGCTTTACTGCTGCCAAGGTGTCCTACTACTTACTAGAGGGACTTAAGAGCTGAGTACAGTCGAAGCTTTTTCATTTCTTTGTTATAAAGAACCCATCAAGACTTGTAGGTTAAGTGTAGTTTCAAAACTGCCTAACATATATCTGACTCGACTGATTATTAATTGTACAATCTGTGTTTGGCTGAGTGAACGTTTCATTTGGGTCAAATTCGTTAAAATCCCGAAGCAATATATGAAAAAGTCACCTCATCATGGCTTATCGCCACTTACCGTTCACTCTCATAAAGTACACTTTTTCAACAAATCAGTGGGTGCGTTATATTGAAACTTATTATAAATTTCAATAAAAGAATTGGTCCATGTTTTGTGTGCGTATTTCGAGTTATGGATGCACGCAGGAAGTTTGGAGAGCACGAGAGAAACGAAAGAATTGCTCGAGGCGCAGTCGCTTTGTGAATGCTCTCCAAACTTCCCAAGTGCATCCGTAACTCAATAGACGCATAGCTAAAGCACGAACCGATTTTATTAAGACATAGCATGCAGACACAAGTTGTGCTCGAAAAAAAATTTTTATCACAACAGTATCTAGCTTATTAGGTGACCGTGTTCTACCTGAAAACTACAAATAAGAGAATATGTTTCGAGACAAAATCTCTATTCAAAGAATAGTATTGTAAATATTCTGTTCAGGAGCGAAAAACGAGCGAACATCTTGCATGCACGAGACTGCGTAGTAGACTCAGCATGCTTGAATTGCTTACCATAATTCATGGTCAGTAAAGTGTTCGAACATTTTCGAGACCCGCGTGGTAGATTTAGCCTGCTTAAATGTTTTTCTTTTTTTTGTAGTAGAATTTACGACCAGAAAACTGCGTAGCTTTGTATTGAAAATTATGAAAATTTTACGATTTCAAAACAAAATTATTCATTGAACAACACTTTTGGAACAAAGCAACACTTCAAAATAATATTTACCGTTCCAATAAAGAGTCCCCAACTTCGCAAATCCTCGGTTGAAGTCAGAAAGCTAAGTTTTGTTTTTAGCCATGATTCGCATCGCGTTTGGGAATGAAGCATCGTCAACTCCAAAACTTATTTGGTCGCCTTTCGTTTCGAGCTTTCGTTTCGAGCTTCCTCGAGCTTCAAAAGGTCTATCTCAATTAGGAAAGAATGGTTTCTATACTTTTCGATACCCACATGTAATGGTAGGAGATGGGACATGATATAATGCAATACACAGGTGTAAGTGACGTGAGGCAGAGTCCCAATAGGATAAAAAATGTTTTTGCTTCTGAAGTTATAACTTGGTCGATGGTAATTACTGGAATAAAATTGAAGATATTCAGACAATACATGAATAATTTTTACTCATAGGTTGGAAACAAGACCCGAATTGACCAAGTCCATTGTCTATGTACTCATCTGACTTCTTTTGGAGGAGGGTTCATCCAAGCTCCAAATCCTATAGACTTTGATAAAGTTTTCGAGGGCTTCAAAAATTTGTCCGACAATGTTGCTGTGCTGGCAACTATTGTGACAGCATTCGCCATCTATATTTTGATGGTATTGTGTCTGAGAAGAATGGACAAGCGGGATGAACTTATTGTAAGTTGGTCCTTAACCTTTTGGGTATGGCTATGTTATAAGTAAGAGAAACGATGCAAAATTGAACAAAGTTGAATTTGAAAGCTTTCAGTACTTCTAAATCGACGATGAAACCAGTAAATATTCTAGAATCAAACTTTTTATTAGGATTCTCCCAAAATCCTTTGTTTTCTCAGAGGCTTTAATTTTTAGAGGTGACATTGAAAGTAACTCCCAAGAAGTGCAACTTTTCAACAGAACGTCCTACCGAAGCGAAATATATTTCCAGTTGTCTTAATTTAACAGCTCTAAAAGTGGTACGTGACGATCGCTTAGAAATAGTGAGTACCTCATCGACTCATGTATGGTCTTAAAATGTATTGTACAAGGTTGCAGTAATAAATCATCTTGTGAGAATTTTTTAGAACATAGCAGCGCAAAATGTAATCGTGGATATTTATGAGAATGTGGCGCATTTCAATTGATATAATCATTAATAATTGTCTTGCCATTATAGGGCATTCCTACGACAATTCAAACCCACGAAGGTGTACCCCTAAACAGCTATGAGATTATAATCCAAACTGGCTCATGGCGAGGCTCTGGTACAACAGCCAATGTCTTCATAGTCCTGGTGGGCGAGGATGGCGAAAGCAACCCCATCGCACTAAGGGATGAAAACAAATCTCTTTTCACCAGAGGATCGACGAATGAATTCCTCGTTTCAATTCCTGAGAATCTTGGAAAATTGCTCTACCTTACGGTATGGCATGATTTGTCAGGCATAAATTCTTCTTGGTATCTCAGTTATGTTATCATTCGCGAAAATAAAACAAGGGAACAGTACATTTTTGCGTGTGACCATTGGCTCGCCCTAGAGAGAGGAGACGGTTCAGTAAGGAGAGTTATACCAGTAAGCGACAAAAAGGAACTAACAAGTTTTGGGATCCTTTTCCGTACCAAGACATCTAAAGACATATTTGATGGCCACCTTTGGATCTCTGTTGTAGGTAAACCATCTAAGAGTAACTTCACTCGTGTCCAGAGATTGACCTGTTGTATGTCACTTCTATTTAGTGCAATGATAACAAACGCAATGTTTTACAACATTGGAAACAAGTCAGACGATTCCACTGTTTCCATTGGACCATTTTCATTGAGTCTCAAGCAGATCATAATTGGAATTCAGAGCAGTCTCATTGCGCTCCCAATCAACATCATAGTCTTGCAAATATTTCGTAATCTAAAGCAAAAGAAAACAACCAGTTCAAAATATAAAAGGCCATTTCCCTTCCGAAGAAACGCAGTGTTCGTCAGCGATGAATGGTCAGACAAAGATGCTCCGATGGAACCAATCCAGGAAACTTCAGGTGGACGCTTGCCTCACTGGTTGATCTACATAGCGTATCCTCTGTGCTTTCTGATAGTGATGACTGCAGCATTATTTACTTTGTTTTACAGTATGCAGTGGGGAAAGGAAATATCCAACAAGTGGCTCTCATCCATGCTTGTATCATTTTTCCAGGACGCATTTATAACACAGCCCTTAAAAATCTTCCTCGCCGCTCTAGTTATCTCATCAATTTTGAAGAAACTACCCAGCGACTTTACAGAAGGGCCATTTGCGGGTAGGAAAACAAGCATTGTAGACCCCAAACCAACCGCATTTGACAGAGAAGAGGCAATAAAAAGACCACTCTTTATGTCTAAACCTCCAGACGAGACCCTAGTGGAGAAGGCCAGGAAGTACAAATTGAACGAGTTGAAAGCTTTCAGGATACTGAGGGAAAATATCTTGCATCTGCTATTTCTATCGTCGTTGCTGGTGATAAGTTATTCCACGAGAGACCCAGATGCTTTCACTCAGAGCAGATATCTGAGATACGTGTTCGGTGAACAGGTACGGTGTAGCAACGCTAAACTATTAGTTAGGATAAGAACGATGAAAAAAGGATTTAAAAAAGCTGCCTACAACGAAATTGCTCGTTTATGTCCAGCATGACGTTTTCCGCCTTAAATGCCATTTCACTTTTTATAGTCTAACCTTATCCTGTAAGTTCTCGTACGAGAAAGTGCCACTTGACGGCAATCAAGGTGGTTGCTTACGGGATGTTGGCTTGTACGTTAGATGTTGCTGTTCGTTAATGTATCATGGTAAATGGTTTAAACTTGGGGTAGCATGTGATAGGGGAAATTGATATTATCAACTGAGTTGATAACGTAAATTGGCCACCGCAAAGAGTTTCAAAGCTGACGTTTCGGGCGTCCGCCTTTCGTCAGAGCGAAGGGCTAACGAGGAGCTAACGCTCGAAACGTCAACTTTAAACTCTTTACGGTGGCCAATCTACGTTATCAATAAGTTGATAATACTAAATTATTCAGTTATACTCTCCCAACGACTCAGCGCCACAGTTTCTTTAGAAAATTACCCCATTTCATCGGTGACATAAGAGAGTATAGTCTGAGTGTAAGACTAGAAGGACTGCTGTCGGTAATAGAGACTGACGTTATGATAACATACTTTCTCAGTACTACACTCACTCGAACGATCAGATCACTCTATCAATAACTTATGTATCTTGCCCCTATATGGCCTGCCAAAGCTTTATTTTCCTTGTTGGCTGTAGCACCACACCATTTTATCTGTGAGAAAACAGATGAAAAAAGAGAAAAAGTGCTAAGTTTTGTTTACCACGTGATTACAAGCAGTGGCTTTTTTTCTTTTTTTCGAATATGTATTTTTAATTTACTTAGGCTAACGATATCCGGAGTCTTTGGTCTTTCTTGGAAACTGGTTTGCTACCTTTTGTCTTCGACAAAAAGTGGTATAACGGTGACGAGGACAAATTAGATGGGTTCACTGAAGACAAGTACTTGTATATTATTGGTATGCCACGCCTTAGACAACTCAGGTCCAAGAAAGGTACGCTTTTGAAATGCTTTTCTGAGATTAATATACTGTTTCAACTATTTTTTTGTTTAAAAAAACGTTGTGCTGGGAGAAGTTGACAAGATTTAATTGAATTTGAATTCGTTTGGAATATATCTAGTACAAACTAGTTGCTGTTACATTAATTTGCTCAAGAGAATGAAGCTTTCTTTTTTTTTCCATTTGAAGTAAACTGTGAAAGTGAATACTCCCAAGACCTAAACATGAGTTGCAGTGGTTCTTACTCCGTTATTGACGAGGAAAAAGATTTCTATTTACCTGGATGGATAAAAAAAGGCGACTTGAGCTATTCGGCATGTCCGGCTTCATGGCGATACCAAACAGCTCTAAAACTGGACGGACTGCCTTTTTGGGGTAGTAAAACGATTTACAGTGGCGGAGGATATACTGCTGACCTGGGTTACTTCATGGAGCAGGCTAGAGAAGTGATAAGTGACTTACAGACCTACAAATGGGTTGATCAGTTCACACGTGCAATCTTTGTCGAGCTTAGTGTGTTCAATGCTCCAGCCAATCTTTTTAGCAGTGTTACTTACTTGGTGGAGTTTACAGGTACCGGGGGCTCTTCAACGTATTTGAAAGTGGACACTTTCCGACTTTATCAGCATATCGGCCCCTGGACTGCAGCGGTTGCATTTAGTGAGTTTGTGGCCATTGTGACTGTTGCAATAGCTCTCTACGTGGCTTGCAAGAAGATTTCTAGGGAGAGAAAAGGATTTTTCAAGAAGGCTTGGAATGTTGTCGATGCTGCGCAGATTGGGCTATCCATCTCTGCTATAGCACTGTTCTTCATCCGACTGATGAACGCAAACTGGACAATCGCAAAAGTTCAGGAGAACCCATTTGTATTCGTAAGCTTTCATTATGCAATGAAGTGGGACGAAGTTAGCACTTACGTCATTGGTGCCATAGTATTCATCGCCACGTTAAAGTTTCTCCAACTGCTGAGCTTTAACCGGCACATTGCTGTCCTTTCGCATACAATTTCTCGTGCCGCAGTAGAGCTGCTACCGCTGGGAATGGAAGTCTTACTCACGATTTTTGCTTTTAATATCTTTGCTTACGTTGTTTTCGGAAGCCGGGTCGAAGGTTTTAACAACTTCATAACGACCTGTGAAACTACACTGGCTATGACGCTTGGGAAGGCATACTTTATGGAGCTGAGCGATTCGGAGGCTGTCCTCGGTCCTTTGTTTTTCGCTATGTTTGTGATAACTATGCAATTTTTCCTTATCAACATGATTCTGGCTGTTATTATGGACACCTACAATGAAGTTAATGCTGAAATCGATGAGAACTCCCCAGAGTACGAAATGGCTGGTTTTCTTCTATGTTATTTAAAGTCTTTCTTCGGTGATCACTCTGAGTTTAAGGCCGGAGACGAGGTCTGGAGGAAATCTAAAGAGAAGGGAAACAAAACTGTTAAAACTGAGAGTGTCAAAGAAAACCTCCTTGTTTTAAAGGAACAGCGTAATTTGCTGAAGGAAAGGCTAAAATCGTTGCAAACTTTGGACAAAGATGTCGCCGATTCGGAGCTCTCTTTTGTAGAGCGGTGGCACGCCATCTGTATCTCTGCTGATTATGAGACTGATGCAAAGTTGTTAGAAGTGATGACGTTCTACCTTGGCCACGAAATCGATTGCTCCATCGAACTTAGTGTTTCAGATAACGAGGCCGATGCATTTGCATAATCGGGGACAATCAGGAACATGATCATGCTTTCTGATTGGAATGACAAGAGAACTCAAAACTCGAAATTATTACATTTTGTCGAAAATTGTAATATTTACGCGCTTGTTGATAGTACTTTACATTTATATTTTACATTTATTTTACGTTTACATTTCATTTATATTACTGAATCGAAAAGACCTTGATAACTGTCGGACTTCAAGAGTCAAGCTTAGGGTATTTTTGTCAAAAATTGCGATTTTTTGGGCTCGTGTTTGATAGGAAGGTATTAATTTTTATGTCTTTTAAAACTACATTATTTGAATGTAATGGAATCTCAAATCTTAAATTTGTTTCCAAGCAGATAAGGAGTGTGTTAAAATATTTTTATACATTGCAATAATAGATGAATTCCACCGGCATCTATTAATCAATTGAAATCAATTAATTCATATATTAAAGTTCACAAGGTAACCGGGTGGACAATCAGATATGGTTTGATGCTAATCTGGTATAAAGATATAATGAACGTAACCTAGAAGTTACAATTCATAGACCCAACGTTTCGACACTACTGTCTAGTACCTTCATCAGGGGTGATTTAATCGCTGCAAAAAGAGGACGTTTTATATACTAACTAATTAGCTGCCCTTTGTTCTGACGAGGTGTAAACGGGCGTCAGGTAGTAAGCTGTCATCATCACGATTTAAAGGAGCGTGGGCGGAGTTGATAGGCCAGGCTTCCAAACAAAGGCGCTGATGGTAACGTCGATTATTGGTGATAACTTTAGACTTATCCCACCCAATTTTATGGTTGTTAGGCATGTGTGCTCCGACAAAGCTGAATTTTCTTTTTCGCATTTTAATGCTCTTTCAAACGTGTACCAAACTGACGTTTGGTGTGTCCGATATACTCGTCATCACAGTCATTGCACGGAATAGAATAAATAGCGTTGGTTCGTTGTTCTTTCATGACAGGATCCTTAGGTTTGACAAAAATATGCCCTGAAGTCTGAAAAGGATTTTGAGCAACTTGAACGTTGTGGTTACTCAAAATTCTCTTGATGGGTTCCGTAACATCCTGAATGTAAGGAATTACAACAAAACCAGTCGCTGTTTCCTTCTCGTCAAGAGTGTTATTAGATGTAACTGGTTTCTGGCAGTATGGTTATTATAGCCATTTACCTTTAGGACGTCAGAAACATTTTCTCTCCTCAGCCTTCGAAACAAGTGAAGATGGTAGACAGTCCGCTCTCCTGAGTAGCTTCTCGGTTACATTTATTAAATTTCAAACCAGAGTAGCATCAAACCATGTCAAATTCATCCTATGCAGTTGGTACACAAATAAAACCATTCTTTATAGCGAGTCGTTAGTTGTCTTTATTAATTGCTTCATTAAGTACTTAATGTAAAAAGTTTTATTTGCAGTTAAGGTTTCACTTGAGAGATACCTGCCTGAATTGTCGTTATTTTATCTATCAGAACGCTACAGCAGAACAAGCCTGCGGACGAGCGCAGTAGGCACAAGATTCTGGGGGGGGGCATGAGCGGACTTTTGCGGCCCGTGCGGAGGGGAATGTGTATTTACCAGTCTTAAACCCCCCTCCTACGGGCAAGAACGATAAATCCATGTCGAGCTCGATTTCCCAGGAACAAACATTGATCTGATATTCTATTGCTACGGGTCTGTCATTTTTGCCTGTCATTTTTGCTTATTTTAGCCAACAACTCCCAAGATCTGATTGTTTATTCTCCCTCTAGCTGCTACACATTTCCTTGAGAATCAGTTATGAGAATTTGTTGTTAGATCGAGGTGTCAATTTTACAGGAAGAAGTTAAATGTTGATCACTGCTGGAAGTTAAAGGGTTAATACCGTGAAAATCGGAAGTTCGGGTTTTTAAGCCTACTCATGTCAACTTGAGCAATTCTCTTTCCAGTTTTGGTCAGCACCTGCCTTGTTCGAAGTCCTGGTTACCAGTTTACAAAAACAGTTTTCGATCGACCTATCGCTGAACATCTGAGAAATTGTATTGTTGTGATCTTCTGCATTATTGATAGAATCAGCTTAAAAGGTTTCGCGTTTTGTTAATAAAGCACATCTTCAATCAATGTCAGTGCAAACCTGATGAGGGATTTGCCAAATCTAATCTGAGTTTCATAGATCTCTTTGCTTCAAGCTTTAATCACCAGCGTTTTAGCGAGGGAGTTTCTTATCCTATGACGATATTAGTAGGATATCTTTCTATTTGCTTTTTTCCTATTAATAATTCTGAAGAATAAACATAAACTGATTAAGTCAGCCCGTAATTTTTAACAGTAGGATAGTTCAGTTTCCAGTGGAGTCCTGAATCTTATGGCACAACAGCGCGTTTTCCTCTGAACTACATCCAATTTCAACGTTGAATTCCCACTTTGTATAGATGATATCGAGGCGATATCCTTACCTTCTCGTTGTATGGGTAAGCATTCTAGTATCTTAATTTACGATGTTATGCTAACGTAAGAAACCTTCAAACATATTCGTTTTTAGAAGATGAAAATATTGACTGTTTGGAATTTACGTTTGTTAGTCAATTAAATTTGACCATTTTTTAAACCGTTTTACTCAATTTACTCAGTAGCCTTCGATATGCTTTAGATAATCGCTAAAAAATTATTCATTTGACCTGTTAGCTAGTAGTCTTCGTAGCTGACTGAATCAGAAATGATGTTTTATTATTTACCCCTATCAACAACTTTATTGCAATATTTAACATTTTTATTCTAGGATCAGTGAATACTATCCATATATCCGTCCTTTTTGTATTGACTGAAATTTCGGGTCTTTAATGAAATCCCCTCTGCCTTTGAGCAAAATTAACAACAGGAATCACTTGCTTTATCAGCTAAAAGGGTACCGAAACAAATTAAGCAAAGGTTAAAATATATACGCCATTGACTTCTTTACTGCTTCTATATAAGTAAGTAGACAGATTCAAAATATACGCCCTTAAACTGAGGTAATCTTCAAACATCCTTACTATTCACGACGGACAAGTCGTCAGCAATGTTAGCCACAGACGCATTTGTCAAATTCAGTTAAAAGATTAATGCACTGGTCAATGTTGTATTATGGACCTAGATAATAAATGAGCTAGCTAAAAAGATCCTCTCTGTATAGATAGTCTAGATAATTAAACTGTCGAGTTTTCTTTTTGTTTCAGATCAGCATGATACCCTTGATTATTCAAGGTAAACCTTTCACTACATGAACACCTTTCATCAGATCAGCTTGACATTTATCAACTGACCATGATCAGGAGAGTGCTGTTTCAAAACACAGCGTCACACAAGTTCTCGAACAAAGTCATATGGATGATCATGCTGACGTGACTCATCCCGTCCAGTAAAATTGGGCCAAACCTTGTCCTTTGAGCATGCATTTGCGTTAAAAAAGAGGCTCCACTTACTCCGGTTTTTTTTTAAACGACCCGGAAAGGTCTAACCTTCTAACGAGAAGTCCTTAAACCATACTGCCTTTTCTTAACTGCAACTAAATTTTTAAACAAGCCTCGAGCTTAGCTGAGTGCTGATATTTCCCCGTAGTCTCGTAAAGGAGAGGTGACAGAAAAGAGTAAAGAAAAGAAAAAAAGCCCCGTTCAAACAGTCATGATAGTTGATGATAGTTTCAACTATCACACTCATTTGAACACGAACCATTATGCACTATCATTTAGTTTGATAGTTTTTTCTAACCCCTGTGATAGTTTTACGGTAAGCACTTTTGTCAAAAACGGCTCAAACCTGATTGGCAAGTGGTAAAATGACTGAGGTAGGCTTCAGAATCTTCAACTCGCAACTTCTTGACTAAAATTTCAAATGCCAGCAAAATTGCTAAACCCAGCGCGCGTCATATTTGTTTACAAATTAATTAATTTCTCGTTGCGTTATTTTGTCAACTAACATCAGCTGTCATGAACCGTTTGAACCCAAAAATGATAGTCAGTGATAGTGAATGATCATAATCGTTTGAACGGGGCTTAAGCGTTTTCCTTATGTGGTCTACCGATACACTATTTGCAATCTTAGTAAATTTTTTTATCTACCTTTTTTTTTCTATATTTTTTCTTGCTCTCGGGAATCTTTCATTTGTGGAACAGGGAATGTTATGGACTGCTCAGATGCGTTAGGCCTCTCAACCAATCAAATCGCAGATGACTCGTTATCTGCCACCACCTGGCAGCCTGGCAGAAGTGATCCTTGGTATGGCCGGTTAAACAACCAATCAAGACGCAGCTGGTGTGCAACTGTCGTTGATGATATTCAGTATTTTCAGGTTATTGCAACATTAAATAAATGTTTCTTAGTACGTGATACAGGATTTCAATACTAATAAAAAACTTGACGTATAATGACTACGTGAATAAAACTGCAATAGAATGAATTTTGAAACCATCACAGACATGGAGGCAAAAGCATCAGCTTGGCAATTTAGTTTTAAATTTCTCATTTGCATTTAGATTGATTTGGGTCCCAAACTGAGATTAATAACTGCGGTGGCCAGCCAAGGAAGTCATAACTATGACGAATGGGTGACTAGTTATAAACTCTCCTACAGCACAGATGGCGGGAAATGGAAAGTCTTTGGAAAAGGCGACATACCGGAGGTGAGAACGGTTATAACCGTGTTACAGTGTGAATTCACTTCTTTCCCGTGCGGGAAACGGCACAATCTCCATTCCAAGGGCCTCCCTCTTTCTCCCTTGAGATAGTAACCTGGTTGCAGTTCATCTTGTGCTTACGCAGAATCTCTCAGAATTTGGGAGATTTCAAAAAAAATAAATCGAGGGTAGGATTCATGCATGGATTTTTTGTCAATACTAACTTGACAGGGAAGGCGTTTATTCGTGATTTTCGTTTTCCAGTTGGCAGTACTGCCACTAAACTTTTATCTAGATATAAAGCCACTAAACCTATTACTTGTTTAACTTGCAACTCAATGTTTGTATAACCAACCGAAAGCCGAGCAACTTGAAGTCTACTCAGGAACGTAACCGCTATTTTGAAAATGCACTCGGGATTTGTCGATTGGTCGAGAACCCTCTCTCCCTACGGCGATCTTTATTTTGCATAGGTACGTGACCAGCCGCAACCAGGGCACAGGTAGGACAGAAAATGATTTAAACGCTCACTTCTAACCTGTGAAGAGAAAAACAATCAAAATAAATCATAATTAAAATGATATGAATGTTCTCAATCGTTCATTCATTTTTTCACTCTTTCGTTACGTAATCCATCGATTTATTCAAATAACAAAGCAACCACACCCGGAAAAACTTAAGACGCTTACACGACGGATAGGAAACGATTCCAACTCCCACGTTCAATAGCTAAAAAATAATCAACCATTGTCGTAACAAAGATTATATAAATGTTCTCATTCATTCATTCATTCATTCAATCATTCCTACGTTGGTTTATATTTCTATTTATTACTTGCTATTTACTTAATCACCTGCTTTCATATTACCTCTTTTCTTTCGAAGATATTTGATGCAAATAAAAATCGCGGAACTGAAGTAAAGCACCAAATAGATCCGCCCATCACAGCTGTGGCCTTACGCTTCCACCCAGTGACATGGGAGGGTAATATGTGCATGAGGGTAGAAGCATTTGGATGCGATGGTGAGCTTACCACATCTATATCACTTCTTCTTCAAAGCATCAAACGATAAAAAAGTTAAGTTTAATGATAATCAGAGGATTATCTCTCGTTTCACAAAAGACGTAATCATCATTTTAAATCCTACAAAAGCATTTGATAGGGTAACGGTTGTCGATGAGTAGCAATGCGTAAAGTGTAAAATTAATGAATGATAAAAGACAATGACGTAGATTGATCATGAAAACCCAAGTCTGAAAATCTGTGCATTGGATCAGTCCCATTTGGTGATCATAGGATTATCCTTTTAAACTATAAGCTTTGCAAATCACCATAAAAAATTCATTGTTCCAGGCCAACGAAAATACTGCAGTGATGATGGTCAAAGACACCTGTAAAAGTCTAAACAAAATACGTTCTTTAACGTATTTCGAATTAAAACGAAATGAACTGAAGAATCGAAGCCAAGTGCACAACTGAAGAAAAAGGAACAATGCTGAAATAAAATAAGAAATAATAAGTTACCAGAATTTTGTGTCAAGAAACTGGAAAACAGGAAAACAAAATAAAGGACATCAAAAGACACTTACAAAGATTGTAAAACGGCTGGCTTAAGACAATATGAACAAAACGTTTTAAAACAATTAAGAAAATTGATTCAGCACAGTTAAACGATAAAGCCGAATGAATACGATTTATGGTAAAGCGAATGATACAAACAAAGGAAAATTACGCAAAAAAAGTAACAGAATATCGCTAAAAAGTACTGCAAATGAAAACAAAAGAACTTAATGAAAATGCGACGGAAAATAATAAGAATTTATTATAAGTAGCGCCAATATAGTTTTTGGCGACAACAGAAGTCATAGGCCATTTATGTTTAGACATGGTGACACCGGATCTTGTTTACGCAACACCTTCGGGGACTGGGGACAATCACCAGAATGTCGTTTCAAATTATGTTTCTACAGCTTATTCAGAAGCGTTAGGGGTGGAAAATGGTAGCATCATTCAGGATAAATATCTGACAGCGTCTCACCATAAGAACTCTTTCGAAGCACGAAAAGGAAGACTTCATAACTTAGAGAACGCATGGTCAGCTTATCCAAGAGTGGGAACGTTCTTGGAAATCTCCGTTGGAAGACATCTGAGCATTATTACTGCTGTAGCCACACAGGGTGTAAAGAATGAACATGACGAATCCTGGGTACTAAGCTACAAATTGAGTTACAGCTTATGGGGAGACGAGTGGATGGAATACATTGACGACGGCGAAGTCAAGGTCAGCCAGTCTATCCAAAATTCAAAACAAAAAACAAAAAACAAAAGCATTTGTCACCGATCATTGATCACTCTCATCTTTAAACTTGAAACGCCTCAAAAAGGTGATTACAATCAGATCCCGACCCAACAAATCGTTTTTTTATTAAATCAATAAGTAACGGTAATAGGACTGAGTGGAGTCCAATTCGGACCCAATTGGACGGCACGAAGTCTTTTTTCCATTTAATCATAAAAATGACAATTTTTGAGTAAAGAAGAATTGCCAAGTTATGAAAGATTTTTGAGTATACGCTGCCCAGATTGCCAAGACTTCGTGCATAAGGTCTCAAACAAGATTTAAACTTTGTAAACAAACACAGAAACTGTTCAACTATAACTCAATCGCTGCCAATTTTTAATCTTTAAACGCGGGAAATGTTAGTTGAAAATTCAGAATCAAAGTTTACGTCTCCTTTCTTGTTTCAGGTATTTCGTGGTAACAACGATCACAGCACAATAGTAAAGAATTACCTCCGACACAATATAACAGCCTTACGTATTCGTTTTTGGCCAGAAACATATTATATTGGTCCTGCATTAAGAGTCGAGTTGTACGGCAGTAAGGGTGAGTAAATTCGTATTAGAAAAACAAATTTAGTTTAGTTTGGTCGGTTTCCAATTCTCTCATATGTTTTTGAGACTGTTGTGATGAAAGCGTTGTTTCCAGGATGCCATAAAAAAGATGAGGCCGTTATTCTCACCACTGCATACAGTTCGTACTCGTTACATTCTAGATATATTGATGGAAAAAGTCATCTGTGTGTAAAACTTTAATCTTCTCATAATTAAAGCCAATTGCAAAATGAGAGTAATGTACTATGTTCATCCTACCACGATCATAAGTTTACTTGTAAAATTTTCATAATGCATTCGTAAAATGTGCAGATGTTTGCCAAAACCCTCTTGGCGTGGAGAGCGGCGACATATCCAATGTACAGTTTACTGCATCAAGTCGTGCACCAGTTGAGAGTGATGCATGGAATGGTCGCTTAAACAACGGGAAGGCCTGGTGCGCGGGAAATAATGACGATAAACAGTATCTTCAAGTAGATTTAGGAAGAATTCTTACGGTAGCGCGAGTCGCCACGCAGGGTCATCCTGACAATCTACAGTGGGTGACTCGTTATAAAGTGGCTTACAGTATGGATGGAATATTTTGGAGGAATGCTCTTGACGAAAGCAAGTCAAAGGTTAGAATTGTAACTCATATCAAGTTCAATGATCTGGCACAGGCGTAGAGTAGGGACTTACATACCCCGGCAAAACATCTTGTTGGCAAAGATAAGTATCTCCTGAGAGTAGGTCCACGTGGGATTGCACGGAGTCCAAAGCTTAGTGGTTTCCACCTTCTTTATTAGCTATGGGAAAAATGTCACGTCCAGTCTTCCTCAGTATCTCCTTCTGTAACATTCTCATCACTAGGAAATTAGATATTATTTAACCAAAAGAACTGTTTTCAATTGCATCAGTTAAGATCCATGATTCCATTCCTTTCTTGAAAAGGAGGTTTTTGTACTATTAATTGCGAATGGTGATGAAGGAGTAACCTAGTGATTGACTAGTGTATTATGCATCGCCTAATGTCTACATCTTTTAAAGACCCTGAGTGGTAATACAGATCACAGCACAGTGAAGGAAGTCCCATTCTACAAACATGTAACAGGCAGATTCGTGAGGTTCCTTCCTGTGGAGTGGAATAATGCAATCTGCATGAGAGTAGAGGTTTACGGTTGTGAAGGTTGGTAATTCGTAAACTCGTAGTAGTTTCGGTATACTATGCAAATTTCTTTCAAAATTTAAGATATGGCTTTTCTCGAGTGTTTTACGTGTCACCCGGGTTGGACAGTGCTTGTGCTTGAATTTTCATACAATTTGATGTGAAATACGAGTCGGGAGTGCAGGATATAAGGGCCCTTGATCACAATGCAATTCCATTGTGAGCAGATTACACACATTGCTTACAGTGCATTATGCCATAATCAATAGCTGGCAAAGCGTTACCCCAAATTATGAATAGTAAACAATTATAAAAATAATGATATTTAATGGGGGAACCGAACTGGTAGATGCGGTTTTCAGTGGGGCCCTTCAAATTTGCCGTTTTATCTGTTACGAATCATTTATGATGTTGTTGGACTGTTGGTGTAAACTAGCTCGAACACCACGCGCAAACGCGAGATATCAAGAGTCTGAGCAAGAACTGTTATCGGAGGCGACAGCCAGTCTTTTCTTAATGACCCATTCAGCCCTGAGTACGTGCTCTTAAACATCCTATCAGTCGGCGTGTGTGGGCTTACGGGCCTACTAACCATAGCAGATTAAATAAAAAAGACCTCCTGTTGATGACTCTAAGCAAGGTCAGTAAGCAAATCTAGACATGATTAAAGATGGTGATTATTGTCCGAGACGAATCACGTGGTCTTGCATCACATAACAAAACTAGGCCTAGAAGACTCACAGAAAACTTCTAATATTAGTATACTTCGTGACCATCTGTTCACATTCCACCCAATGACTTATTTACCGCACGTATTTCCAGAATGCGCCTATCCAGTTGGTATTGAGCGTGGAGTAGTACCAAATGAAGCCTTTTCAGCCTCATCATGGTACGACGTGGACCATGAGCCTTGGCTGGCAAGGCTTTATAGTAGAGAAGGCGAGGGAGCGGGGTGTGCACTGAAAAATGATGGGACCCAGTACTTACAAATCGATCTAGCTCAAATACATATCATAACAGGCGTAGCTACTCAAGGAAAGTACGAAATATCAGAATGGGCGATTCGTTTCAGAGCTTGGGTAACAAACTTCAGTTTATCTTTCACCGACGATCATATGATTTGGGTTAACTACACTGAGGATGGAGTCTCTCCGAAGGTGAGCTTTGCTAAAAAATTAAGTCTGGATTCAAAATTGCATACGAAAACCATATTGGTCAAATTATCAGCTGTAGTTTGTCACAAAACTTTGAGTCTTTGATACTTCAATCCTATTTTCCCGCATCAAAAATTGCCATTCCTGTCTGATGTTTGCGTAAAAAGAGAGGCCTAGCTCTTTGTGCTGACAGATGCTTCGCTGTAGTGATTTCCCTCCTGTGCTGACAGATGCTTCGCTGTAATGATTTCCCTCCTGGAAAAACGAGTGTAAGAGAAATGTGTTGTATTCTCTAAAACAACATTTGCGAAGTAAATTTTGACTCAACTTTTTAGGTCTTTGATGGGAATTCACAAAGGAATCAAGTTATCCGACATACGCTTTTAAAAAGAATAACTTCTCGACATCTAAGGTTTCTTCCAGTCACATGGTTTGGATGGACATGCATGCGGGTCGAAGTTTTTGGATGCAGAGGTTAGTAAGATGTTCTTGAAGAAATTTAATAAGAATGCTGGAGAGGATTATTACTCCACCCGAGAGACTCCGTGGGAAGCCAGATGCCTTTAAATGTATCAAGGGACAAACAGTAGTGATAACTACTAAAATGCCATTCAATTTTTTCTACAAGGAATCGAAACTTTTTGTTTTTTGACAGGTTCTATGCAAATTACTGTGCCTTGGTTTAAAATAAAAATTGACAACAACTTCACTGGCGACATAATTCGTTTAGTTACACCTAATTTCAATGGAGTTTTCGTTGAAAAATTAGTGAAAATACAAAGGAAAAATTATAAAAGAATTAGCAGCGTTTAAAATTACGCTCTGGCTTTATGCCTAATGGCCGAGCAATTTTCATATAATTTCCGCTGAAATTTTTTTTCAAATCTCATGAGAGTATCAGATGGTTGCTGGAAAAAGTTTTATTTTTTTTTTTTCTGTCGGTCTTGATTTGACAACTCAGCTTGCTCTTCTGCTCTTGGAATGGAGGATTTTCACGTGCCGTATGAATCGATTCTGGTTTCATCAGTTCAGTCTGGACTTTACGCTGCAAGAGCCAGAATTTTTAATTCATACACATGGCTTCGAGGCTATAATGATAAGAACTCTTTTCTCCAAATTGGAAACGGCATAGATGAATACCTCTTTACTGCAATTGCAACTCAAGGCCATTTGACTATGAGGTCAGCCGTGGTCAAGTTCCAATTGTCTTTTTCCAGAGATGGTTTACACTGGTTTTACTACAGAGAGAATGGCGACATCAAGGTAAAAACGTTTTTATTCATTTATGAATTTTAGTTCTCCATTCCATCGATATGTAAGTCGTGAAGCATGAAAAACGTTTGTGGTAGGTTACAAAAGCCAGTCATTTTTATTGTCCTTCCTAATAATGATGAAAAGGTATGGTTAAGTTAAGATCTCAGTGCTTTGTGATAACATTTCACAACCGATATCTAGAGAACATAGGATATCTCTAAATTTTTACAATTCTAGTTGATTTTACCTTACTGACGTTTTTTGTTGTTGGTGTTTTAATTTTTTTCGATGAGGTCAAAGCTTTTGATTCATTTCACTTTATTTCAGATGTTTATTAGCACATCTCTCGTCAACACTGTAGCAAAGCATTACCTTGAGCGGGCTGTCACGGCAAGATTCGTGCGCTTTTGGCCCAAAGAATGGGCTGGGAGACCCTATCTCCGCGTTGAATTATACGGATGCCATGGTTAGCTTCCTTTTTGTTCAGTTTATCAACAATTTAAGTCTGGCTTCAGAGGCTTATTTGCTTAATTTTCTTTCGTATTATCTTCAAAAAAGGCAAACTTCTTGCCTCGACCGTCCTGGCGAATCGTGAATGCAAAATATTCATGTCTTTCCAACATTGCTAAATTTCCGTTTTTTCCGTTTTTTTTTTCCGTTTTTTTTTCAGTTTACTCGAGATCTGTTGATTTCTCAAACCTGACAAGTATGGCAAACCGCTATCCTTATTTCTATACATACGACGGATCTGTTTTAAAGTCCTGGCACGGACGTTTGTCGATAGATGACGACTCCAATAATGCCCCCAGATCAGCATGGTGTGCAAAAAACAATGATACAAACAACAACCAGTTCCTTCAACTAGATTTGAAAGTGACAAAAGTTATTCAGGCCATCGCGGTTCAATCCCATTCATCAGAGGATAAATGGGTGAAAAGTTTTACCATTAGTTCCAGTCTTGATGGGCTGTTTTGGAAGCAATACACAGATGCAGGAAACTTGAAGGTGAGCTTAATGATCGTAATATTAATAATGGTAGCTTAAAGCTTATAGCGCGTTATTCTGACATGTTAATTTGATCAAATGCGCATACGCAAAGAACATTCAATGTCGCGACGAATACAGAGGTACTCGCCTAAACTTTCCTAAATAAATTTCATATCGCAGGTAACACGAACCAAGCTGTTGTTTTTATAGCAATAAGATCAACTCTAAAAACGTTGTGGATACACTCAGCTATTTTTTGCAACTCATTTCACTTTACCAGTATTGTTGGTTTTCCACGCCTAAGGAAGAATTGATCGCAAACAACTTTATCTGATCCTCTGTAGGTATTTGATGGGAACACACATCGACGTAGTTTAGTCAAAGTGGATATTAAATATAATCTCCGTGCAAGATATCTGCGAATTCACCCAAAAACCTGGTACAATCACCCTTGTTTAAGGCTGGAGGTGTTCGCCAAAGAAGGTGAGACAGCATGATCCATCGAGAACACTCTTTCATTTTTTTATTTTTTTTATATACCAAAGCATTAAATACTCATTTATCAGGGGAAAGTACGCAAAAATATGCCATATATATAACTAGTTGTTTTACGACCATTCACAACTTTTCAAATATACTACGTTCTTTCCATATTGGTGCATGGTGCCTAGTTGTCAAATCAGTCGAAGTTCGTAGTACCCTTTGCCCTGGGAAATGGAGAAATTGACTACAAGTTGAAACTGGTGTACGTTTAACACAAATGTGACTTTTTTGTCACTTTGTGAGGTCATTTTGTTGAGGTAATTGTTCTTTAACTCTATCCATGTAAGCAGATATAAAGCAAAAATCGGAATAAATTTATACTACTACAACTAGAGTGGAAAGGAACACAATATCGTAGCCTTAATGCGTTGAAGTGACCATGGTATTTTCTGACAGATATCTTGCCCGTTGGGGTTTTTTTTTTCCAGACTGCATTGATCCTCTAGGAATGCAGAGTGGTCAAATTTCTGACAAAGATATTACAGCGTCTAGCGCTCTGAGGGTGAATTACGAACCCTGGCTTGCCAGGTTACACAGTCGGCTGGGAGAAGGAGGATGGTGTGCAGGGGTTTGTTAACATTTTAAGCTTTCCTCATAAACCAAAATTGGGTATAACAGTCACGAGAAAATCGTAAACTCTCGGAATAATCGCTCTGGTAATTACAGAGACATGCACACTTTCGATTTTAGAGAATACGTCGATTCTTGCCGCCATTACTTCACGCGTGGTTATCATGATACAGAGATATTTTCTAGTGAACCGCAGCTGAAAAGAACGAGTAATGAAACGAAAGGTGTAAAATATCAATTTTTACCGAACATGGGACAGAAGCAAATTTTAGTCCCCCTTGAAATTTCGAACCAGCCAGCTGGTTCCACTATCCCAGTTGAACACTTTATTTATAGGCCATAAAAAAGGCGTTCACGAGCTAAGCCATGAACGACAAATTTGTCGAGTATTGCCAACTCCATCGTCCCATTTTCTCTTTTAGAGAAATGATGAGAATCAATATTTGGCGATTGATTTGAAACACCCTTACCACGTGAGACGAGTAGCATCGCAAGGAAAGTCCTCAGTACCCGGATGCATTATCCCGGACGCTTGGGTCACAAGCTACATGATGCAGTTCAGACGTGATACACTAGACTGGTGGAACTACACTGAGAACAACACCATCAGGGTGAGGATCCTTTTATTGTAATAGTTATATCGCTTGAGAGGCTATATTAAGAAGGACTGAATATGTTGTTGTGCTGTTAGTTTATTTGTTTTCTTAGTCATCGAAGTCTTATTACAAGTCTTATTAGAATTCTTTATATTCATGTTGCCCGTGATGTTGTCTCCCGGGAGCAATAAGGGACGGCGACGCTGTGGAAAACGTCGTGTATTAATATTTTAGTTATAATTTCGCGTGCGACTGGATGTGTTTACCAACTCTTACGGCCCCACACCTCAAATTCAGCATAACGTACGTGAGCAGCGGTGACTTCCAATATTGAAACTAGAATGATTTTGCAGTCGGGGTTTCCATTTTTAGACGCAACTTTTGGTGATTTCACGTTGTTGCTTTGCAGAGGACTGCTAAGAAATGTGCAGAGTTTTAAAACGCACGTGCAGAGCTATTCTTCTGCTCATTAGATCTTTTGTTTTGCAAAATCCTCGTTACCGTCGCCGTCGTGGTTTAGTTAAGGTCCCAAATACCCAGCAAAGACGTAGGAATCATGTTCGAGTTTAAAAAAGGTTCAAAAATCCACAAACTAAAGTCACTCACCGTTTTTTACAGCCCTGAGTTGTCTTTCCCTTGAGTTCTAACTTAAATGCCTGCGGGTAACTGCTCACCCTTTAAGTTTTAACCCTGGTAAAATATATGACATAACCAAAACAAATGTCTCCAAGTTCAGTAATCTAAATTGCTACATAACCAATTTTTTATGCATAGGAGTTCTCTGGAAATATCAATACCACCCATGTGGTCACTCATCACTTAAAGAGCCCCGTCATTGCTCGCTATGTGAGATTTCGTCCCATGAATTGGTTCCAAAGAATTTGCATGAGAGTGGAAATATATGGATGCAAAGGTATTTCTTTATATATTTATTCAGATAAACTAGTCAGATTTCTTCATTTCCTATTCCTTAGGCGTCGACAGAGAAAGAGAAACTTCTGCGTGATACTAATAAACTGTGCGCTTTTATTTTGTCACCACGAAACAGCGCTTGCGAACGAAATCTCTGATTTGTCTTCAATTAGTTGATTTCTGGTAAATACTTCATAGGTTATCAGCGGAATAGTATCCTGTTGTTCTCATTCGTGGCAAAATAGCTCAGGAAACTTCGAATCGGGTTTGTTTTACAGGTTTTTGAAGATTTACTTCGTTGTCTTTGCTAAAGCACGCGAGACGCGAAGGAATTAATGAGCTAAGTACAGCCAGTTTTTATTCATAAACAAGGATCATATTAACTAAGCCTACCGGAACCGCGCTGGGTGAGATGATGCATATCGGCCCTCGATCTACTTGGTGCGGACTAAGCTCAGCGAGAACCGTACTTTTAACTGCTGACATTCTCACAGTGCGGCAACACTTGGATCATGAGATATGTTTGAAAATTTGTGATGTTATGGAACTTTTCAAGCGCACTCTAAAGTCAAAATTACCATAGCCTTTGAAATGAGAAACAATGTATTTACTCCTTCACGAAAGCCTCAAAGATTTTGCAATATTTGTGTTGATCGTTTATTGTCTTCCACTGTAGCTTGCTTCCAACCTTTAGGAATGGAAGACTTCTCAATACCGAGTAAAAACGTTGACTCATCTGTAGCTTCAAACATCTTCAATGCAAGACTGAACTATGCAGGAACAAACCAGTTCGTTGGAGGTGTGTTTTAATTCATAAGTTACGAATCAGTGACGTATCAAAGACTGTTCCTTGTGTGTCATTTTCTTTACGTTCTTAGCACATTCTGACGTCATCAGTGATCTATTGCTGAGCAGACGCACGGAAACATCAAATCTAGTTTACACATGGATTTATTCATTTTTTTTTTCGTTTTACACATGTATATACTCCCTTTTTTTCGTTGGGGAACTTAAGTTTACAAACCCTGAAGGTTTTAGTTGGATTTCTCAGTCATTCATCTCACTTATTTATCATTAATCATATTGAGAATAGTACGTGGACGTGCGTAGATATGGAATTTATCTTCGGGTGTTTGTTACAAATCGATGAATGGAAAAAAGGTACCACAATCCACGCAAAAAAGTCGTAAAGTGCGTGGGCGTTAAGGCTCAAGATTAAAAAAAAAAAGTTTTAAAGAAAACTGTCTCTTCGTTTCAGGGCGAGACAAATTCATCTTACAAATCGACTTAGGGCATTTTAAGACTGTCGCTGCAGTCGCTACACAAGGCAGATATCGTGGAACGCATTTTGTTAGAATCTATCGATTGGCGTTTAGCAGACTGGAGGGTGAATGGTTTTATTACAAAGAAAATGGAGAAGTCAAGGTATTTCACTGATGCTTCAGTTTTAAATAATGCTCATCAAAGTTGCTTCTGATAGAGCCAATTGTCCGTATTAGAACTTAAAATTGTTTCGATTACTTGTATCGAGATAAGCAGTTAGTTTCCACAAGAATTTAACAGGTTTATTAAATTCAATCAGCAAAACTTCATATCTTTCTTTTGAAAAGTGTTACGCCAAACTTAATAGAATCTTTTGTGCTCTTCGGAATTAAATTGCTCTCTAACGCGTTTATCTCTTCTTCGGTAACATTGGCAAAACGCAAGACAGCCATTTGGAAATTTAGCGCCCTTGCTCCAATCAAGTTGAGCGGGGTGATTATAGCGGGAAATACCTCAATCTTCGACAAATCAGAATACATGCATCTCTTAATCTCTGCAACAATCATACTACCATACTAATATACTGTATATACAGATCACCTTTCAATCAATTATTTTTTTTCATCAAGGAAATACATGGCAACACAAACGCCGACGGAGTAGCTCTAAAAATCCTACATTACCAAGTTGTCGCCCGCTATGTCCGTTTTGTGGTAGTAGAGTGGGTCGAAAATGTTTGCTTGAGAGTGGAAATTTACGGCTGCGAAGGTAAATTCATCCAGACGAATTATTTTTGTTTTATTCTATTTTATTTTTTGTTTTCTTTCATCTTTAAAAAATGAACTTGTGTACTAAATCATAATCCATAATATTTATATAATTTAGTGCAGGAAAGCGCTACTAATACAATTCTGTCCTGAGAATTGATCATGAACGTTGAAACAATCGAAACAATGTCTCACCTGGTAAAAAGTACCGAGAAGTCAACCTCGCCAACTGAGGGGAGAAACCTCAGTTGTCGGAAAAAAAAAACATGAAACAGTGAGAGATAGAGGGAGAGTGCGTGCGAGAAAGATCGGGGGTTGGGATGGGAGGAAAAACCTTTTTGTAGAGTGATAATCTTAACATCTCTATTCTACGATCTTAGCCTGGTCAGATCCTCTTGGAATAGGATCAGGATTAATAAGCAAGAGCAAAATGACCTCATCCAGTAACTCGGGACCTGGGCATGAGCCATGGTTGGCAAAATTAAATACAGTATTCGATAAGATGGGCTGGTGTGCCGCTCCTTCTGATTCATCGCCGTACCTTCAGATAGACATGGGACGAGTTGTCACTCTAACTCATATAGCAGTTGCAGGAAAGAGTGGTGCAGGCATGGTGTCTGAATTTAAGTTTTCTTCAAGCGTTGATGGTGGCTTCTGGCGCATTTATACGACAGTCTCTGGAGAAAAGGTGAATAATTTTGTTTGTTACTAACTGTCTTTATTCAGAGCAAAAGAGATCGATTGTTTCTCTTTTTCCACCTTTGCCTCTAGACGTTTACAGCAGCTACCGATTACTCACAGGCATTAAAGTTCCCGATAGATTTGGAAATGCAAGCGCAATTTTTCAGGTTCCTCCCTAAGCAATGGACTGATTTGCCGTGCATGAACGTGGAATTGTATGGTTTTGATGGTAAGTTATTTTTCAAGCAAAATTTAATTTTGAAGTTGCGATTATCCCATTAGAGTGGTTTAGCAAGAGGACGGGAGAGTCATTTCAGAACGGCGCGTGCAGCAAAAATGTCGATAAGAAACTGGGTCGAGAACGCCGTCGTGTTGTGTTGAAAAGTGATTTAGCAGTCGTTGCAACGAGAATCCTCACCTCGGCTTTTTAAACATCACCATCACCTTTGAATTTTCGGTTTCATAAACCACTTTAAGGACAACGAAATTATCTTCTTTGAGAGTTATGTAACAAGCGCAAACAGAGGATAGTTATAGCCTACGGCAAGTAAGTTGTCAATATGAATCCACATGGGCGATTGAACTTTGAAACTATTCCATTCCAGTTTAGTCTCGAGTCTGCTGATTCATCTATCAAATTTTGAAGCCCACTAAATAATTTTTTTTTCTATGATTTGTGTCGCTGTCATTTCGTTTCGTGTTACTAGATTTCAGCACTACTCGTTTTTCGTCATAATTTTGTAAAGGATAATTTGAAAATCGTCCTCGTTTTCCCCCTTGTTTACTGAATATTCTTCTCAATTATGACAGTACATCTCTTTTGAGCACTATCTTCTTAGAGTTGAAATGCATTTTGAACAGAATTTAGAGGAGTTATGGCGAAGCCATATAGAAACCAAGCGACCCAACGATGGAATTGTTTACGATGAGTTCCTTTTATCCGTGAAAGAATGAAATTAACTCAAACTAGTTACCAACGAAACGGTTAGACTTAGGAATAAGACTTCGTTCCTATTTTATTTTATTTTCGTTTTTTTAAATTAATTTTTTTAAGCGAATGAAGTCGTTCAAGACTGAACTAAATTAATAGATTTAGAAAGCCGTGCTGAAATCAAGTTGATTGTCATTCTATTTCGAAGCGAGAGCATGACTTTCTTGTCTTAGTTTTCACCGGCGCTGGTCAAAAATTTCAAACATAAAAAAGTGAATACCTGAGCTATTCTCAATTTTTTTTTATCTCTGACTTTAATTCGCAGAAAAGTTTTCAATCACGGTAAAAACGACAATAACGACAAATAACACTGGCTAATATAGTAGGTAAGCGTCGTGATATTTCATTTTGATAAACTTCAACATGAAGCAAGTTTAATTTCTTGATGAATTGATTCATGATAAGATTAACAGCGTCCCATTCTGAGAGTTTTCATACAAGATTAAAGAAATGTATCAAAGAACAGTCCTTTCGCTGTTTTAGGCCTTGTTCAATTACAAGTGTACTGAGCCCTAAAATCTTGGATCCGGCGCTTGCCAACGATTGTGTTTCCTTTCGGGAATTCAGCATAAATGAAGCGGTAAATTTTCCCAAAATACACCGAATAAACCAAAGGAAGGGACCAGGAAATTAGTTCTGAAATAATTTCAAACAGCATTATCTCGTTTAGAAGCGCAAAATTTACGCAAATCCCAGGCGTTTTGATCGCGACGGGAAAACCAGCGTAATGACGTCCTGAACTTGTTGGGGAGAACGGCAAAGCTAACACCGGAAGTCGAAATAGAGTCGTGTCCAGACTATCCTCGCGCTTTCCCGTTCTGAAATGACGTCCCGTCCTCTTGCTAAATCACTCTATCGTCGCGCGTAAGGCGCTTATCTCAGTGATTTCCGTGGAGATTTTAATCCAAATAACTGGATTTAGGAGGGTTGGGAGGGGGGTTTCGTCCACTTTTTATAAAAACTCGCATTACAAAAAAACTCTAGAAGACAAAATTAGTTTATTATACTCCTCATTTCGTTGCTTAAACGTTTGAAAATGGATAACCGTCATTTCAGCTAAAAATCCTCTAGGTCATCGTCTTAGTATGACGATGAACTGACAGTGTTGTAAAAAAATTGGAAGGAGAAAGGTCGGAATGCCTATTTGCAAAACTTTTTCTCGATATCAAAGTGTTACAGATAGTAATGATCGTGTGGGCCAGGCTGCCTTTTTTGTGGAAATAATTCCTGTGTGATCATCTTCACGCGGATGTGAAAAATTTGCGACAGAAATAGTTGGCAGTGTTGAGTAGTTATACTCAGAAGATACTAAAGTGACTTAAAATAGGCCAAAATTGAATTTGGTGTCTAGAATGCACGAGGCCTTTAGGACTGACGGAGTGGATTATACCAAAAGATGCTATGACAGCATCCAGCTCGCTTGGAACAAACTATGCACCTTGGATGGGAAGACTGGGTTCCAGAGAAGGTGGTGGAGCATGGTGCGCTAAAAGTAACGATAACATGCAGTATCTGCAGATTGATCTGGGTCACGTGAGTGAAGTACGCAGCTTGCAGATTCAAGGAAAAGAAGGAGTTAGTAGACATCCTACTTTGGAGAGCGCTTGGGTGAAAAACTTCACTGTATCTCATAGTGTAGATGGAATAACTTGGACAGATCATAAAGACTTTGGTATTTTGAAGGTTTGTCTGTCTTAGTTTTCGTTTGTCGTTTACTGAATATTCTTGTGTGCTGCTCAATTCTGTGGGAAAATTTATCATTGAACTAACCAACTAACTACTTACTAATCATTAATCAAGCCTTTTTTCACCTCTAGTTTTGAATTTTTTTTCTGTGAATGGTGAAATATCAATTTGAAAGTTCAACTCTATTTGAAACGTGGGTGGCGAGCAAGCTGGTTTGAGATAGCGAATTGTTTTTGTTATTAATAAGGGATGGACACATCCCTCTGGTCGAAGTGAGAGGCGACAAGGAGCAACGAAGGGTTTAATTGGTAGTTGGCCCCGACGGCGCCAAGAAGAGGTGTAACCAGGAAGGAAACGAAAACAAAGTTCCTGGCGACGTAGGCCAAATACCTTTGGAATAAATTGGAGCTCCACCCGAAGATGCGGGGTGGGGATGGGCGGGTCTTGATTTGCCTTCTCTCGGTCAAACTTGGAAGAGACGATTTAATGATGTCAAAAAATATTTAACTTCTCAGGAAGCAATACAAAAGTGCGTCAACTCTAGGGTGTTAGGTCGGTAACAATGAATTTATTTGAAATATTAAATACTTCGAATTCCAACAGAATATGAATATTCAAATGACTTTGAAGAACATTATCACTAAGATTTTATGAAAACACTCCGCTATTTGACACTGTTTGAGAACCCTTTTCGGGTGAAGATAAGTTGTTTGAACTTATAAAAAACTTTGAACATAATAACGATTTCAGTCCAACCATTTGTTTTTCAAATTCAAGGTGTTTCGTGGTAATTCAAATCCCCACGAGTCTAGAACTGTGTCTTTGGAAGTCTCGATAATTGGACGCTATTTCAGAATTTTTCCCAAAAGTTATCATCGTCACATGTGCATGCGAATGGAGCTATACGGATGCCAAGGTGGGTAGAACACCGTCATCATTTGCACTGAGACGAAAAACTGCCCGACATGATTATAATATAAGAGTAACCTTGGCTTGGTAGCATGATTTTCGTAAAGGATATTGAGTATTTGATGCTTTTAGGAATGCTGATAACGTTAAGGTTACAATACTGTAACTTTTAAACTCCTTTTTTTTCAAATTGAAATAACAAGAACATAAAATGCACGTTGGCGCAACTTCTGTATGGAGCAATTTAACCTTTGCTGCGTATGTAGGATGTTTTTCAGGCCTGATGGCTGTATTAAATATTAATATTTCATATAACTAATCCTTAGTCAGATAGCATCGTTTAAATATTGAACAGCCAAAACACTTTATTTGATAGAAAAAAATGGCTAATATTCTGATTTGCATTTTTCTTTTAGCTTGTGAAAATCCCCTTGGAATGGAAAACTATGACATTCCAGACCATGCACTGGTCACAAGTGGTACATATTATGACGCAATCGACGCTCGATTAAACAAACTAGACATATTCCTTTTACCTACTGAAGTGGACGAGTACATTCAGGTTGACCTTGGGCCCGGAGGCAAATCAGTTACTGCTATAACAGTACGAGGAAATTTTGCTTCCTCCCATATTGACTGGATTAGCAAATTTGTTCTAAATTACAGTAGGAACGGGTGTGAATTTTTCTCTTACATGGAGGACGGCACCGTGAAGGTAACGTGAAGAGTTTATGTGTCGGTCGATTAGATAACTTAACAGTTGCAATTTGGCTGTTCACCAGCTTTCACTCGAGTGCCATTGCACAAACTTGTCCCTTTAAACTGCAGGTGAATGAAAGATCAAATTAAATAATATTTTGCGACCAACTTGTGTCATTGCTTACTGTAGATGGACTACCTTTAATTCTCAATGACAATGGACGCCACTTCAAAAGACGGAAGCAAAGCTCCCTGCTAAAAAAAACCGCAGAATTTCACTTTTACGGGCATGAAAATATGAAATTTAACAAACGAAGATCTAGAACAAAAAAGGAAGAAAGCAAAGTCA